ATTGTTCGTGTAATTACATTTAAAAGGACTTTAAGAATCACGTAAACACTATTTCATATAGGTAGTTAATTTTTTTATTTTTTTTTTCCAAATTAATTATCGTTTTATATAAATGAAAAAAAAAATCTTTCGGGTTGAAGCCTCCTCCCACCTCCTCCCCCCCCAAAAAAAAAAAATTAAATCCTGGATCCGCTAGTGTTTCTGTTAGTACATATTATTTGAAATTCTGAAATACCATCAGACTAAAAAAATTTTAAAAAATTGAATAATCATTTTGATGATTCCATAAAAATACTGTCATTATAATTCGCCTAATTTTGTCGGCCAATTATAATTAATCAAACCTAGAATATAAATATTTGTTTCACCTTTAAATTGGTAACTCATTTTTTTATATAAGTATATATTTTATATATATATATATATATAAGTATGTACGCAGCATATGCCTGCGAAACATGGACTCTAACAAAGGCATCTGCTGAACGAATAGATCGGTTTGAAAGGAAAATACTAATACGGATAATAGGACCTAAACAGGAGGAAGGAGTTCCCCGCTTGAGGACAATCAAGGAGGTATACTCAATTTACGGTGATCTGTCTATCTCCCAATTCGCTCGAGTCCGAAATGGTTAGGACATGTTCTGAGAATGGATGAAGCGAGGACAGCGAGAAGGCTCTATCATGGGAAGCCAGAGGGAGTTAGGTCTAGGAGAAGACCGAAGGCAAGATGGATAGATAACGTAAAATAAGACGGCATATCCATCAGGTGCGCAGCCAACAGGGATGACTGGGCAAAGGAAATTGAGCAGGCCAAGCAAGGACCGCTACATGCATCTGTTGTGCCAATAATGAATGAATGTATTTTATATATTATATAAAGGATGGGATGCAATAATGCTAATTTATCAATAATTGTTAATTTACATTCATTAACAAAATTTTTGAACTAATTTTAATCCCAAAAAACATGAAAGTGGATTGATGGTTGAGTGTAGTGAATAATTAAAGAGAAGATTGGTTGGGGTGTTCATTAAAAAATAAATAAATAAATTATATTTTTGTTGACATTTTGGCCCAAAGTTGAATGAAATGTACATTTAATCTAGTTTACTAAAAAGTAATAAGTTGTAAACTAAATTAAACATTTTTTGAGTTATTGCTTTTTATTCAATATAAAACGTGGTTAGCTTAAAAATTAAAAGAATTAAGTTTCATAGTTCTCTGTATGTAATCAGACTATACTAACTTTTTATAAGTGTTAATGTCTTATATCACATATTATCAATTATATGAAATTAATGTAAATCTAAACTTCATATCATTATCACGAAATTCCCCATTGATTGATACGAATATAATTCTGTTGTCAATTACTTTAAAAATCATTAAACGAATCAAACTTTGAATAAAAATTTGAACGATCGAAAATCTTAAAAAAAAAAAATATCTAATTAAACTTCGAATAGGTATCATATACTATGAACAACATCAATTTCGTGCTTTGGAGCAATTTTTGCTTATAGTGGAAATGCAATAAATATAATCTCATAAATATCTCCGTAACCATTGATTTTATTATAAAAATGTATAGAGTCATTTTTATAGATATTTTAAAGTACTTTAATATTGTGCAAATCAATTTTTGCGAAAAATCTTATTGTATCATCATTTTCTGTTCTTGCTCTTCCCTCCTCCCCTCTCCCATCAAAACCCGATTTTTTACAAATTATTATGAGAAGGCTCATGAACAGTTTCTCAAAAGTTTCATCTTTATTTTTTTAATGTTAGGGTCAATCCTTAATTTCACTGGACTATAAGGCTCATGCATAATACATCTGTCCCGGCGATAAGATTATATAGTTGTTACTTTCTATTCCACATTCACTCGATCTGCGATCTCTTTGTCAGTATCACTGCATTAGATCGCAATTCCACTATTCTACTCAGACCGAGGGCGTTCTTGCGCAGCCGTACTGAATATTTCCTGTGGACAAATAGCTTTTCAAAAATAAAAGTAGAAAAAAATGAAGCTATCCTTTTGTGTTAGTAGATAGCTCAATGGCTTCACATTTTTTTTTTTTTTTTTTTAAACTTTTATTATGATATTTATAACTGTATTAGTATAAATATATCAAGTAAATGTGTACATAGAATATTATCAAATCAAACACGCTTGTTGAGAAACTACCCATTGGTAGCACTCTAATAATTTGTCTACATGAGGAGATCACGAGGCCATCTCCTTTTCAGACGCCTCGGAGGGTTATCAGGAATTGAAGAGGAAGCAAGGTTAGAAACAAGAGGATTCGGATGGTTATGAAGTTTATTATGGAAGGATAGGTATCTGGATTTGGCCAAATCGGAAACATATAGAACATTGAGGTCTTTATGGATTATTTTATTTGTGACAAAGTAAGGAGCATTAAGGATTTTGGATTGTAAAGATTGGATACGAGAGGAATTTGATGGTTTAGTGGAGCCCCACAGCTCAACTCCATAAGTCCAAATAGGTCTTATTGTAGTCATGTATATGAGTCGTTTGTAATTCATTGAAAGTTTAGAGCGTTTGTCCAGTAAGTGTTGGAGTAAGCGGAAACGTCGAGCAGTTTCTTGTCGTTTCAGTCTTGTATGAGGATTCCAAGTGAGACGTTTGTCCAGCTGGAGTCCTTGGTATCGGATTTGTTCTACAGGGTAAGTGGGGTGTTATTAAAGGATACTATAGGACAGCAAGTCATTGGTTTACGACGAAGGGTAAAGGTGATTTGATGGGATTTATTGGAATTGATTTTAATCCTCTATTTTTGACACCATTCTTCAAGGTTTGTGATGTGTGATTGAAGAGTTTGAGATGCAATTGTTGGATCATTATTAACTGACAGGATACATGTGTCATCAGCATACGTAGTGATGACAGTGTTAGGATGAGTTGGGATATCAGCTGTATAAACTGTGTAAAGTAGGACCAAGGATACTACCTTGAGGAACTCCGGCAGATTGAGAAAAGAGGGATGAATAGGTATTATTGTGATTTACTTTGAAGTGTCTATCAGTAAAATAGGAACTGATGATAAGAAAATATGTAGGGGGAAGGAATTTACGGAGTTTGTAAAGCAATCCCGGATGCCAGACTCGATCAAACGCCTGTTCAACGTCGAGAAAAACTCCAGTGCAATACATTCCGCGCTCCAATGCAGAGGAGACAACATCTACCACACGATGACATTGCTGGAATGGGATGTGCGGAATCCAAATTGGTGATCAGAGATTATGTGGTTAGAATCTAGGATGGGATACAGGCGTTTTAAGATGAGCTTCTCCAGGATTTTGCCCATGATGGGTAAAAGAGAGATAGGACGGTAAGAGGATGGGTATTCTGGTGGCTTTTTGGGTTTATGTTTAATTTGGCTACAGATAGTTTCCAAGGGTCAGGAAAATATGTGGAATGGAGTACGGCGTTATGGCTTCATATTTAAGAAATTTATTTGTAATAAATTTTTTTTTTTACATTTTGATAGATTTTTCAAACACCAAGGAATTTTCTTCAATATAGTTTTTATTTAAAATAATACTTTTTTAAAAATTATTCTATTTCGTTTAATTTTTTGGGCTCAGAATCATTTATAACTTATAAAACTTAGTTATATATTTTACCCACATTTAAAAAATAAGAAGTATTTTAGCGTTTAACTCATATATACTCATATATTCACCTTTAGATCCTATCATAAACTAAATTATCAGTGAAAGGAGGACTAGAAATATAAAGTAGATAAGAAATAAAAATGCACTGCAAGCGAAAGTAAGACGCCTGACAATCTTAGTGTCGTCTTGACGCTCCTTCATTAAAATTGAAACAACTTCAATAAAAATTGTAATATACATATATTTCTACCAAATTGATTGACGTCAATATTATTGTAACAATATACTGACAAAAATCGATATTGACGTAATACCGTTGACCATGTAAAAGAAATACCAAATGAACTGACATTGTTTTAATTAATTGTTTGTGAGAGTACCAGTCATCCTTGGTCGCACAATTACTAGTTCAAGGAAAATCATTAAATTAAATATTTTGTTCTGAAGGCTCCTACAAGGACACCTAGCAACCAAGTTCTGATTACGCATTTGTCCATAAGTAATGCCATTTGAACTTAGTTTCAGATAATATTGTTAAAATTTTGCAGACATTTTTGAAATGGTCATCGTTCAAAGTTTTATTATTAATTGTTTATAATATTTTTAATTTATTATTTTGCTCAAGGCTTCATTTTTTTTTATTTAATTTCTAATAAATCATTAAAATATTTATAGCACGAGATTAAATCTAATATTACTGTCCGAGATAAACTTAAGCTGGGTTTAGACACTTCAAAAACTATGGGACAAACAAGTATATAAATATTTATTTCACTATACTAGTATTTTTGTTTTTTGTTTCTGATATTTCCATCTACTGTCGATATCATAAGAAATAAAATAAATAGTTTGGTTTAATAATAATTTAGCTGTTAATTAAGTTAGACCTTTGTGTTTCCCATAGTTAGTGAAATGTCTAAACGCACCTTTACAATATTCACTATAACATTTTAACTTCTCATAATAAATTTGAATCTATTATTTAATTAATATCTCCTTCTAATCAATATTAATTAATGAACAGAACAAGTGAAACAAATATATTTTATTAATTAAAACTCTTTAAAATTAAATCAATAGCATAAATATTAATCTACAGTCAAACGCACCGTACAGACCGATAAGACGTTTTTGATTTGTTGGCGGGATTTCTTTCCCCAATCTCAGTTTTTCGACCAATCGGAAGCCGCCGCTGAATGACGTCACCAACATGAAGGCTCTATGTTAATATCAATATGTTGTTTTGCTTGGGAAGGATATCACACGTTCGTGTATAAAATGTTAACTTAGTTTTTATCCGATCTTACCAATTTTGTTTAAGCATTAAGAATGCTTTATTAGTTTATGTGTGAAAAATGGTTCCTGTTTATTTATTTTATTTTGTCATTCATCCTGTATATAGTTATTCTGTAAGCTACCCAGAAGATGAAACGAACTCAACTTTAGAAAATAGGTATTAGTTAATATTATGTTATATTTATAATTCATTAAACAAATTATTTCCATCGTTAATTAAGAGAACATATAAACATAGTGGGAATAACTTCATCTTTCTAATCTGTAATCATTAATTCTTGTCTGTTTAGTATTGCTCTAAGTGGAAAAAAATTTACTGTTGATGGACCTCTCAATCCAACCCACCAACAAACACAGTTTGAAAGCAGAGGTGGAATTTGCGAGGTATTCTTTATATGAGTTTAACATAACACAAGAATTTGATACAATAATTCTTATAATTGGTATTTAATTTCAATTTTTTTTTTCCTAGCTATATCATGGAAAATTATGTAGTGAATACCTTGCCAACAAGACTGTTTATATACCCAATCATTCGAAACAAGTAGATCTAGAAGAGAAACTGAAATCTGCTTTTTCAGTTGTCACTCTCTCAAGGTTGCCTAGATATTTTAGTTGATCTCTCTTATTACATTATGCAATGGAAATTCCTTTCTAATATTTGTATAATTTTTTCAGCGATCTTTCTAAAACATGTCAAGCCTATGCAGTTCCTTCTTTGTGCTATGCAGCATTTGCTGTCTGCAGAGATGAGCCAACTGAACCACCTCGATATATCTGTAGAAGAGTAATTGTCTATTTTACTTGTTTTCATGTAGACATTATTTCATAATTATGTAACTAATTTGTATTCATGTTTTCTACAGGACTGTGAATTACTTGAAAATGATATTTGTCGTAAAGAATATGCCATAGCCAAACGTCATCCTCTTATTGGTAAAAATCTTCCTATGCCTTCTTGTTCTGATTTGCCTCCTGACCTTCACAGTAGTGACTGTGTATCACTTGGTGTACCTCAGCCGCAGCCTGTAGATCCAGGTAACCTTTCTTCAACTTAGCTTTGGAAATCAATGGTTTTTATTTTTCCATATTGAATTTATAAATTTTTCATTCATCTTATAGTATTTTTGAGATTTTGATAAAAATTGGAATTTTTTGGGTCTTATGACATTACAAATCACAGTCCTACTCAAGATCTATATCACTATTTTCCTTCTGTGTGTCATTTTACTTTTCAGTCAAAATTTAAATTTTATAATAAATTAATGAGCTGAACTTGTAATTTGGGAAACCTTTTTGAAATAATTAGTTATTATCCAACTCTTTTGATGGAGGACGGGATGGCTAAGCACGTTGGGGTATGATCCCGGGAAATGAATCTTTGCACTCCCTTTCTGGTTAGTACGCAATGGTAACCTCAAGTTTGCCATTAGGAGTTGGCAGAAAGAACCACAAAGTTGCCAGATTAGTTTTATCCTATGATAGTTAATTCTGATTGGGCTTTAATTTTAAGTTATACAAAATTTGAAACTAGCTAAAAGTGTTCATTCACAATAATTCTACTCCAAGCCAAATGCGACATGCATATGGTCGATAATCTGTAATAATATGAGTATGCTTAATAGTTCCACTATTTTTCTGTTAATATTATACCATGAGATTAAATTAAGAGTAAAATTATAAATTGCATCACCAAACACATTTCTATTTTCAGGAGACCATTGTTACTGGGGTCGAGGAGAGGGATACAGAGGAGCAGTGGGTGTTGGTGAATCGGGTCAGCCATGCGTTCCTTGGTCAGAACAATTTCTTATCGCAACATCTGACCATCATGAGCTGCTCGGACAGCATAACTACTGTAGAAATCCTGGATCTCGGCATTCTCAGCCATGGTGTTACACCCATCATGATGCCCTCATTCGTGAAGAGATGTGCAATATTAATAAGTGTGGTGAGTAAAATTATTGCATTATTGACTGTATAAAACATTATTAAATGAAATCCTGGTTAATTTCATTTGTATAATACGTTGGAGAATCAGTGTGATTAATTTAATCTTATGCCTTAATGCTAAAACTCTTGAGCCTCTTACACTTCAGTTATTTTATTTTATTGAATACTTTTAATGTTTAACATCAACATTAACAACTCATTCTTATTACATAAGAGATCTTTACACTTTAGTATAAGTTTAGTAGTTCTAGGAAACTCATAACATTCTTTATGTAGACCTGTTTATTATCAAGTGACCTAATTATCTTTTCTCTTTAGTACAAGTTATACGTATTAGCTGTCAAAAACTTATAATTCTTAATATCTAAAATTAGAAAGATTACCAAAATTTTAAATAAGTTCTCAACTGCTGCAATCTTACTCCCTATCTTCACCATATCTATTGAAACGGTTAAAATTGAGAAATAATTAATCCAAAACAAGGAATGAAGTTCCAAAAATCTGTATAAGTCAGCTCCATTAAAAATTAAATTTTCTGGTGTGCTATATTCTATTGATAATTTTGTTGTCAAAAGCTTTTGAGAAATTAATTAGAAGATTGTAGATTTCAGTCTATGATTTCTGTTAATGATGACAATGATTTTAAATATTTTTAAACAGGCAAGATTTTGTTAAGGAAAATAGATTAATTATCTGTATGTCAAAAATAAAAGCGATTGAGAATTTCGACAGATTTTGAAGTATTTAATTTTTATAAAGATGCTATACTTTTTTTAAATAGACACCACATTTGAGAACAGAGAATATCTGTTTCCACATTTTTTTATGTTTACTTGTTATAGTAGATTTAAGATGAGTTTGAGTGTAGGGGAAGGGAGCCCACGCAGCCTTCCTCCACTCAAGTACCATTTTCCCAAAACCGTATCATGAATTTATATATATTCATAATTACGTTTTTGTTCTGAGGGTGGATAGTTATTCCTCTACTCAGTTTATTTGACATAGTAAACGAAAATTGGTAAAAGAAATGATAAGAAAATTGATGAAGAATTTATAATTGTAAACAAAAATTGTGGAATGAAGGAGAATTGTATGCACGAATGATCAACGAAGACTGGGGATTTTGAACAGTGGGGGATCGGCAGAAAAATGTTTAGCCACTGCGCATCTATCTCTCCCTCTACTCATCCACAAACTCATCATAGATCCACTATACATATAATAAAAATATTTGATTTCTTATGTTGGATTGCTACAGACTGGTTGTTAATTGTAGGTTATTTTTGTTTACAATCCAAGCTGAGATCTACCTATTCATATCTGCCAAAAAATCATCAAATGTGTTCTTGACACTAGGCTTACTTTTAATTTTCCTCATTATGATCTCTAATAATTGATCCATTCCTTGTAGAGCTGTTTTTTCAATTCATATCTAGAAATAAAATGTAATTATCAATTTATAGCTTAAAACATGACTTAAGAAATGAAACTATAAATAAAATACTCTACATAAGATTTCATGATAACTTACATGGATGTTATAACACTCTCATAAAAGATATGATGGCATGTTACATTCCCGATACCAGACTTAAGGGATCTTCTCGCCTAAAAATCAATAATAAATTCAAGATACGTAGGAATGCCATTGAACACTCCACCCTCTCATACAAATCAAGACTTATTCTCATATTTTTGCAGACAGCAAACTCACTGATTGTCAGTATTTTTGACAGGTTGGGTTAAGAAATAAAGATATATATTTTTTTTTAAAAATCAATCTTCATTATAATTAATCTATTAAAAAATATTGGGTTGGCAAATAAGTCTTTTCGGTTTTTCAGAGTGAGATAAAACTCATTGTATTATAGACATAAAATTTATTTTAATCTACAACATATTAACCATTATTTAATATGACTTTTTCCCATCTTTCCACTAACTGCATAATGCCATGTTCATAGAATGTCTGCGAGTTTATTGTTAAAAACCTGATCCATTTGGTTTTTGATGTCCTCTTCCTTTTCGAATTTCTTTCCATTCACGGAGTTCAGAAGAGACCAGAATAAGTGGTAGTCACTTGGAGCTAGGTTTAGTGAAAAGGGAGAGTGGAGCGAAATGTCCCATCCATGGCTCAATAATTTATTACGAGTAATCAATGAGATGTGGGGCCTAGCGTTGTCTTGGTGGAACACACCCTTCCGATTTGCCAGTTCTGGGCATTTATTTTTAATTGATTGGTCCAATTTTGTTAATGGCAATAGCTCATAGATAATAACTAACACCCTTAAAATCCCACCATATGGAAAGCATTATCTGACTTTTTTTTAGGAGCCCTAACTACTAGGTCCCCAAGATTTTCTATGGACTAAGTTATTGTTAAATATCCATTTTTCATCTCCTGTTACCAACCTTTTCAAAAATGGGTCATTTTTGTAGTGAATCACAAACAGAAATGCTTGTTGCTAAGTATACTTCGGTTAAAGAGTGAGAGACCCAAACATTGAACCTGAAAACAGCCGAGCTTGTGCAAATAGTTTTTTTACGCTTGTAGGAGACACATTTAGGGCCATAGCAATCCCTCGCACTGATTGGGTGGAATTTTGATCGACAATGGCCTTAACATTGCTCGTTTCAAGTTCATGCGGGTGAGCAGAGCATTAAATATCATTGATGTCAAAATTTCTTGAACGAAATTTGGCAAACCAATTTTGACAGGTGCATTTGGTTAAGGCATCATCCACATAAACACTGCAAATTTTTCTATAAGCTTCTGCAGCAGGCTTACCTTTTTTAAAATAAACAACAAAATATGCCGATAATGAATGATATTTTCTTCCATATTCACAGTGTAATATCAAACACAATACTAAGCTAGTTTTAACAAGAGTTAACAGATATATTTGTTGACATATTACAAACAGGATAAACAATCCACCTTAGGGATTAATTCAACAGATATGAAGTGTATTATAGTGGCATAAAAATAAACAGAAAAACCGAAAGGACTTATTTGCTAACCCAATACTTTTGAATAATCTGACAATAGATTTATTATATTTCACCTTTTTTTATCTCCTTGTTTAGGAGGGCGGGGAATTTTATTTAAGATTGAGAAAAGTTAGGGAATTAGACAGACGAACTCTTGTAAACACTCAGAGCTAAGAAAAATGCTCGTTAATCCATTTTTTTTAGTTTAATTGACCACTGTCACCCTAGGTTTCTTGCAAATATTATGAGGAAATTCAAACCTGTTTTGAATGATTGGTCCGATTTCCCGAGAAGAGGGAGGGAACTTTTACACCTGTAAATGTGATATAACATAACTTTCAGAGAGTTCTCCTCTCTGCTTTCATCAAGAACTGGTTGTACTCTCTAGGATAACATACTCACCAGTGTAAATGCGGCTTTAGAGTCCATAAAACTATTATTTTCACTATTAGAATTTTTTAAGACTGTCTTTGTAGTTTAGATTTTGAGGATTTCTAAAGAGTGAGCTTTGTTGACTGCTTTGGTTAGTCATCAAGGTTAAGATTTATATTATTACTAATATAATTTAATGGGTTTATAAATTCTTGAATGTCTCCGTTACAGTTGAAACTTTATGGATATATCTCTCTTTTGGAGCTTGTGGAGCCTTGATTCTCATCATTATTGTTCTTTCATACTGCTGTTGTACATCTCGAAAACGTTCGCAGACTAGTGCAGGAGAAAATGATTCGAATCTGAAGGTAATCTTAAATAAAACTTTAAAGTACAGGATGTTCTTGATAACCCAAACATGTACATTGCCTAGCGTGTTTTGATTATCAAAGGTTAAATTTGAAATAATGGAAAAATTGCTCAAGTAACTATAATATATATATATTTGTTTCAGTTAAACATAAAAACATTGCTAACTAATACAAAAAAAATTTCTGAAAATGGTCGTATAATGTTGTATTTATAAGATTGTGTCTCTGATGTTGTTGCTAAAGAAAACGTCTGATCTTGCAAATTTCTTTAAAATACCATACTACGGTAGTCGACATACCCATTCCCCCACTCCAATTAAGTATTAAATGCATTTATGAAAATTGGTGTATAGACATTTTCCATTGAAATAAAAAACATATTCTCTACCTGCTTTTAAGATTAGCTAGCCAATCTTATTGACATTAAATTCTGCTTCGTAATTTTTTTTTTTTAATTTAAGGAAAAAATTTGACTTTGCAGCTAATATCCGGTTTAATTTCCTAGTCTTTTAATGTTGCACTATTTTATTGATATTGAGTATGAATTATTTTCCTTTACAACTTATTATTCATATTATATTAATTATTTTGGTTTTCTCTAGTCATAAATAAATTTTAAAAACTAGATTGATTATTTTGTTTCTAAAATCTAGTCTTTTAATGTTGGGAAATTTTATTAATATTGAGTATATTCAGAATGAATTATCTTCCTTTACAACTCATTATTTATATTATTTTAGTAAATTTGGTTTTCTTTAGTCATTTAGCAGATTAATTAATATAAAAATAGATTTTTTTATTACTAAAATCTAGTCTTTTAATGTTTGAAAATTTTGTTGGTACTAAGTATATTTGGAATGAATTATTTTCCTTTCCAACTCTTTGAATTAAACATTCAATATATTATATATTGAATTATACATTTCAATATACTTTCCTAAAATCAGGATATATTGCAGATCTGCTTAAATTTTTGCTTATATTATACTATGACGTTGATGTCGATTTGATTAAATTTGTCTTTCTGACAATTTAAGGTGATAAAACATATTTCCAAGATTTTACAGTTTTGTCGTTCCATCATAATAATATCTTAATTACTGAACATTAATTAAAATTAATTTCTAAATTGACCATTTAAATCATATTTCAAGCAAATATTAATCTACACAGTTTTTTATTTTATCTTATCATTTTCTTGTTAATATAGCTTTTCCTTTATTACTATAATCCATAAATAATATTATTTCATATTTTTAAAATTAAAATATTAATGAGGAATTAATTTAACAACTAATATATTTATAGTATCATGAACAACTGGCTCTATCTTATACTTATTTATACCTCCCCGTTTCTATTGCTGAGATTTACATTATTATTATTATTTTTAAACTGTACTTATATTTGTATGTATTATTTTTCTCTGCATAGATTTTATGATTATTTTAATATTTTATTAGAATGTGAAGAACTCACCTTGTCGTAAAGGTAAAGGTAGTGGACTCGAAATGTCAGCTTTAATTCCTGGATCTGGTTCGTCATCAGTGAAAAGTGAGGCACGTGTTAGAGAATTTCATCCTTCAAGTATTCGTTTTATTCAGGAACTTGGAGAAGGAGCCTTTGGTTAGTTATTTTTTAAAACATATTTTGTCATTATTTTTAAATATTTTTCACTGCTCTTTAGCTGAATGTTTCTATATACATTAGTGAGAAATTGGCTGCAGAAGGACTGGTTTTCCAATTTTGATATCCCGTGAATATATTATGTGCCTCAGGATCTTAGACGAAAATCAGAAAAAAAATTAATAAATGATCTTATTACATTTATTATAATGTTGATAGTTCATATATTTTTCAATATCTTATCAGTACTGAAATTTTATAGGTAAGGTTTATAAAGGAGAGATCTCAGGTGGAGTTGGGGAAGAACCCATGCCTGTAGCTATTAAAACTCTCAAGGAAAATGCTACTGCTAAAACAGCTGCAGATTTTAGAAGAGAGGTAATTTATTTTTGTTATATTTATTTTAAATTGAGTAGAGTAAGCGCCAGTGATGGACATATCTCAAGAAATGTTTGGCTTATGTCGCCCTAATTATTATAGTAATAAACTTCTCCATCAGATATTTAGAATTTCTAGGTTCTCTTTTTTCTATTTAGCACTTTAAAATTGTAATATAATGTATTACCTTGTTATTTTCCATAATGAACCTTAGTGATCTACCAAGTAAAAAAAAAAATATATTAACCCTTCTCTTCTCAAATTTTAAGGTCTTGTGTTTCAAGGTAATTAAAATCCTACTGTAATGTCAAAAAAAAAATCTGGTGCTCACAACACACAGCTTTCACTTACCACTCTGGTGCTATTATTATTGTTTGAAATGCATTTTAAACTGAGCTAAAGCTTAAAGCTTGCAGAAAACAAATCATTAAGACCATCATAATTACAAAAAATCTATTTATTATATCAATGGTAGGCAATAAAAATCTAGTCACTTCATCTACTTTTATAAACCACACAACTCCAGTCTCTGAGCCTTTCAGTTAACAGAATGACTAACTCCAATTTCAACATTTTTTAGTAATGCCATTTTAGTGATATTTCTAGTTAAAGAAGTTATCTATACAGACAGTGAGTAAGTAGATTCTGGAGTAGGTGATTGCAGTGTTGAAATATAGAACTGTGAATTAAGGTATAAATTTTGCCATTGGAAACAACACTAAAATTAATAATAAAGAATGTTGAAGTTGGAGTTAGTCATTCTGTCAACCGAAAGGCTCATATATGCCAAAAGAGGTTTGAAAGTATATCTCAATATTTAACCTATAAATGATTATGGATCATAGGACTATTAGTTATTAACCAGTTATTTTGCATTGTTAAGTTTACTAAAACTAAATTACAAGATTTTCATTGCCTTGCCATGGATAGGTCAAAAATTGTCACACTAATTGTAAGTGGATAATGTTGGAATTTCACAAAGGGAAAATTCATCAAATTATTCACTAATTTAATTTTCTTAAAGGTTACTTGATGATTTTTTGGGATGAACAGCCAATAGATACCTAATTATTTAAATATAATATATTACCTAGAGTTAATACTCTGTAGTAAATATAGAAATAGAAAATAAACTTTATTCTGGGACAATGTCCCCTTATAATAACAATAATGTACAGTTACAAAAGAAAAAAAAATACACATCTGGCCATTATATATAATAATAAATATATTTGAGGTCAGAAACATATCCATGAAATAATTTTATATTTCACTTCATCTTTCACACAAGTACATTGAAATAGTATTTTAAACAATGACATTGGCTTGATTCGGTGGATCTTAAATACTTTTTTTTTCAATCTTAGAAAAACATTTAAAAGTTTACATATATTAAGTAAATTTCATTTAATTTCATTGAAAACCTGTGATTTACGTTAAATAATATTAGTTTTAAAAAATTATTTTTTATAATTTTTTAGCCACTCTCCATTACCTTCTACAACTTTCTATATTAGATATTGTTTTTTTCTAAAATTCTTTGCTTTCCAACGGAATATTATATATATATTTTGTGATCTGTTATTTCCGGAGATTCTTTTTCAACCTGGATAAGCATTTTTCTTTTTTACTTCAGTTTCCAATTATCATATTCTTTCAAACTTCATATTTAGCCATTTTTTGTAGTTACTGTCAATGAAAGAGAGTTGACGTATATGAACATTGGGCATTTAAGCTATGTAAATGGAGACCTGAATCATATTAAAGACCACTTAATCATACCTTATAACTGGTATTTCCAGAGATTCATTTTCGACCTGGATAAGCATTTTTTTGTAACTCTGAATAACTTTACATGATTAATTTTTTTAAATTAACTATATTAAAGTATTTTTCTTTTTTTCTTCAGTTTCCAATTATCATATTCTTTCAAACTTCATATTTAGCCATTTTTTGTAGTTACTGTCAATAAAAGAGAGTTAATTTTTTTCAAATAATCCATATTAAAGGTGCTTTAAAGGAAGACGTATATGAGCATTGCGCATTTAAGCGCTGTAAAGTAACATCAATGGGGATAAGAAATAAATGATATTAAAGATCACTTAATTATACAATGATACACAGAGTTTAATCAATATCGTTAGAGCCGTTTTTGAGAAAATTGTAAAAATGTGTTTATTGTGTGATATCAAGTGGCACTTCCGGTTAGCCTATTTTAAGGAAAAGGTTGCTGTCACATCTAAGGCAATAACTTAAAAAAAATAAACAAAAGTTCTTAATAAAAAATCTGGTGCGATCAACATTACTTACTCTTTGAACTTTGAATAAAAATTATTTTCTGGCCATGTTAGGCTATTATAAAATGTTTTAAATTGCATTTAAAAAAAAAACTAGCATTACCTTATTAACACATTCAAAATTCAAAAACCGAAACAAAGGATATAACCATTGCAGCAGAACGTATTAAAAAAAAACTAGAGACCCTATCTTATCTCCTAATAATCCGATTTTAGCAATTTTTTTTTTTGTTTTTTAGGCTATTCCATAAACTTTTAGAAAACCATGTACAACATTCCCAAAAAAGTGTACACTTTTTGAGTTATTCGGAATTTAATTTTACCATCCCTCGTAACTTTTTTTCAGCTTCTTTTCGCTGATGAATGTTATATAGATAAATTTGAAGGGTGTCGAGAAAATGACTTTAGCGAAGTTTCAATGAAATTGGTTCGGTACATTCGTTTAGGCGCTACAGTCTATAGCTACGTTTTTCTGCATTTTTATTTTTTTTCTCCTTTATTAACTTATCAAATTCTTTCAAAAGTTATATTTAGCATTTTTTCGTAACTCTGAATAATGCGAAATAATTATCTTTTTAAAATAAACCATATTAAAGGTACTTTAGAGGAAGACGTATATGAACATTGGGCATTTAAGCCCTGTAAAGTGACATCAATGGGGATAAGACCTAATTTATATTAAAGACCACATAATTATACGATGATACACCGAGTTTAATCAAAATCGTTAGAGCCGTTTTTGAGAAAACTGTGAAAATGTGTTTCAGCATTGATATAAAGTGGCACTTCCGGTTAGCCGATTTTAAGGAAAAAGTTGCCGTCACAACTAAGGCATATACCTATCTTAAATACGTGATATCAGTTTCATAGGACTTTTCGTTTTTGAGCTAGACTGCTAACATACAAACACACAGACCATTTGTCAGGACTTGGTCATTTCGACTCAGGGTACCTCAAAACGTATAAATCCGTCGAAAACTCAGATTCAAAAATTTTCTCGATCACAATACTTACACTTACTATATATTACATATATACGTAAGTGAAAGTAAAAATGAATACATTAATTCATCTATGAAAATTATTTATTGATGAAGCTTATCAATACATTTTTATTAGTTTATTTTTTTAACTTGTTTAAGAAAATAAAATATTGAGTTAATAATCTTTTATTTTCTTTATAATAATCCGTTATATTTATGCACACAATATTTTTAGAATTTTATATACATAGATGAACAGAAAATAAACTTCCTGAATAAATCAAGTATTTAAATTAAACTGATTTTAGCATGCGTATTTATGTCAAAACATAAAACTATTTGATATTATTTTTTTAATTTTCAACATTTTTTAAGTTTCTGTTCTAAGAGGTAAATTTATGTATTGGTTAAAAATATTTTTTTATTCCTGTACTGTGGAGCCTGGATATTTAACGGATTTTCTTTAGGAGGAGTGACTATTACTATTCCCTCAACCAATGAACACTCTCATCTACCAATCATATTATAAACCTACTCATACTATCGATCTCCCACGTAATAACTCTATCTAGTTAGTTATTCAATGATGCTGTGAAATCCATCCACTTCCTTGGCCTATCAATATATACTCGTTAACAAGAACAATGTGTTAACTGCTGGTGTTATAACTATTCGCTGTAGAGAAGTATCCTATAAAAGAAGTTTCACTGTAGTAACTTTCATGAGGAGGTGGTTTCGCTACGAAATTACATCAAATTGCTAAAATAATTAAAACATACATGTCTTTGATTCAATATTTAAAATTCTTGAAAATTCTCAGTCGGCTATCAAAATTGGTTGATAGCCTCCATTCTATTTGCTGTTTTTCAATAAGGTATGGTTAACACTTTTATTGACAATCCAAAAACAAAAAAGAATTCTTACAAATCCCAATAAAATTTAAATCCTTACTGTATTAACTCCTCTTGATCATATTTATCAATCATTGTAATAATATTTAGATGGCTTTGATTTAGAACCATAAATTTTTCTTTCAACAGGTGGAATTGATGTGCGAACTACGTCATGAAAACATAGTCTGCCTCTTAGGGGTCTGCCTGAGCCGGGAGCCGCTCTGTATGCTCTTTGAATTCATGCCACGTGGTGATCTCCATGAATTTCTTATCTCACACTCGCCTCATTCTGGAGCTCCATTGACTCAGCATGAACTACTTTCCATCGCTACTCATATCGCTGCTGGTAATAATTATTTTTAAGTATGTGTATGTTAATTTTATTCAAATAATGGTAATTATTTTATGTATAAATATAATATATAATAATATAATATTAAATATAAATAAGTATATATGTATAAATCAGTGTTATATTTTTCTTAATAATTTATTTTATTTAGTAAAACCATCAGAATATATTTCATGTTCATAAATTTCATTGTGTAGGCATGGAGTACTTATGCAGCCACCATTACGTGCATCGAGATTTGGCTGCTCGTAATTGTCTTGTCTCAGAAAATTTAACTGTAAAAATATCAGATTTTGGTCTTTCAAGGGATGTTTACTCATCTGATTATTATAGGTATGGTACTTTTCGTCACCATGTTTAAAATATTATTAATTTCTAATAAATCTTCGACTATTGTCACTTCTTTATTTATTTTTTTCAGGGTTCAAAGTAAATCCTTACTTCCAGTAAGATGGATGCCTCCTGAATCTATTCTTTATGGAAAATTTACCACAGAATCAGATGTGTGGAGTTATGGAGTCGTGTTGTGGGAAATTTACAGTTATGGGTTACAGGTAATGAATATTTATTCATTTTTAAAATATATTTTAATCATTTCATTTTCTGTTTTAATATAAATAAATGTATTTTTTAAATTTTGTCGAAATTCAAATTCAAAATGTTTGACTGCTTAATATCCGCCCTTTATGGGTCTTCTTTATCTATAGTTGAACCACCTCATTTGATTTTTTGTTATCAATTGTATTATTTTTTTAATAAATTGTACTGGATAGGGTTTCGATTCTAATGTGTCTTAAGCCTTCCAAATTTGTCATCACCACATATATTATTACAGTAAGGCTCGCAATCGGTTTTGTACCAAATATAAGCTCCTGTCATGTTCAAATACCATGAATGGGGTACCGTTGAATTCAGAATTTCACGGGGGGTTAGCGAATCGTATTCTTCACCTTTGTTTTTCTTTCTAAAATAAATAACGTCGATACAAACATTTTGCTAGGCTTCAATACTGAAACGGTGGTAGGTCTTTAGATCGAAACGGGACAAATTGGACCTTGAAGATTTTGATGCGTAGAGCAAGACCCAGATAGTTCCTTCAGAACTATCGGATCCTGCGTTTTTAAGCCCAAAAACTTAATATTTTCAAGAAAACGCAAAGCATAGAGTTCACATTCACACAACCTTACGTTAATTGCAGTACTGTCATTGAATACATGTCTCATTTTGTCGACTTGAGGCCTCTATGATCGAGAGAGGAGGAGTCAATATTATTTATCGATGGTGTTTTTGATCAGCAAGCCATATCATCAGTAATTCTTCACCCAATCACAAGAGCCACAATTTCAAAGGTTTCCTTCTCCTTCAAGCGGGCAAAATAGTCCTATCATCTCGAAAATTCAGGCAAACAAATTATGGAGAAAAAAAACTTTATTTGCAAATAACTAAAAAAATACACATTTTTCCCTATAAAAGGAAAAACAAATCATCGAAATCGAACAATTTTTAGAAAAGATACAGCTTATTGAATTTTGTAAACATGTTGGGTCCAATCATTAATGAAGATTTAAATTAGTTTTTGTTTTCTTTGTCGATTATATTTATCGATAAAGTAACAATTGATTTCTTTAGCTTTTGATACATCTCATTATTTTATTTTCTTATTAATTTGGCATTTGATAACAATATGCTGTGCTAATTTTTCCCACGGGCCTACTAGTTTTTATTAATTTTCCTTGTAGTGACAGAGCAAAAGACAATAGTAATAGTTTAGATGACCCCCATGTTATTAGTATTATAAAGTACTAATTAGAGGATGTTAGGATATAATGTGTATATAATCTGTAGTAATAACTTGTGATAAGCAAAACATTTTTTTTTTTTTTTTTTCCGATTACCTCCTGCTTCACTATTTCTGGATCTGCCGGATTTGAACCGGTGTCACTAGACTCGAGAATATTGAAGTTTATGATTGAACACTCCCAGTCATCATAAACTCTCATGATAAGAAAAACATATCTTTTCAGACATGAAATCGGAACCAAGAGTAGCTAGTCTTTTTTTTTCAAATCATTGATCATATACCTAGTTCTGCAATAAATACTGCTACAAAAGTTGAACTTTGTTTACATGCTTGGGTATTATTTAGATAATCCTTACCTCTATTAGGTTAATTTTCTTTCACTCAGTTAACATGGAGTGGGGTGATAAAGAAAACCAAATAACTGTGATCGCCTTACACAAAGTTGGAAAATGTAGGTCAGAGATTTTCAAAACTTTGAACCCTTTAGGAATCAGCGATATGTTCGTGTACCGCACTATAAATAGATATAATGAGACCCTATCTGTATGTGGCAGACCTCGACTGGGCACTGTGAGAACGGCAAATGCAGTGAGAGTGGTGGCTGCTCAAATCAGAAGAAATTCCATTCGAAAACAACAAATCTTGTCTCAGGAAACGGGAATCAATGTCTCACATAACAAAAAGTGACCTTAGGATGGGTGCATTTCGAAGAATAACAGAACAAAGACTAACCACTTTCCTAAAAAAAATAAATCGTTACACCAATGGTCATCATCGAAAAAAAATGTTTAGCAATGAGAAAGTTTTTACAATTGAAGAAAAATTTTATCGCTTAAATTAACATGTGTACGCAGGCAGCTTTAAAGAAGCCCAGGGAGTTATTGAAAGAGTGGAAAGAGATCATCACTCTTCCTCAGTGATGGTTTGGTGCGGAGTTTGCTTTGTTGGCTCCACAAAGCTCAATTTTTGTGAAAAAGAAGTTAAAAACTATCAGGACGATATTTTGGAAACTGTTGTCAAGCCTCTAAATGATACTCTGTTTGCTGGAAGTCATTGGGCTTTCCAACAGGATTCCGCTCCAGCTCACAAGGCTAGATCAACTCAGCAGTGGCTGGAAAAGAACATTCCAGAGTTCATCTCAGCCTTGGATTGGCCCTCAAGAAGCCCTGATCTCAACCCACTAGATTATCAGCTTTGATCCAAACTGGAGAGGATGGCATACCACAGAGCACACCCTAACTTAGAAAGTCTCAAACAATCTCCGGTCCGAGCAGTTGAGAGCTTTCCTCAAGAAGTACTGCGTGCTGCTATTGATGACTGGCCACGGAGATTAAGTGCCTGTGTTAAGGCAAAAGGAGGACATTTTGAGTCATTTCTTTTTTGTTTTACTCTATTGATATACATTTTATTTTCTAATAAAGTTTTTGAAAAATTAATTTTTTCGTTGAAATCTGTATATATTTCCTTGTAACAATATTTGTGACAGGACTAGGTATTCAGTCATAAGTCCCCACTTAAATTCTGATTCAAAGTCCTCCTGCTTCTCCCCACTTCATCGTTAATAGAACACAGAATTTTTGTCAGATTGTCTATGAAATTTCATTGTATCAACGATAACTGCATGGAAATAAAGGATTCAGGCCCTTTCTTCTTTTATGACTCTTTGTTTTTTATTTAATTATAAAGATCAGTTGATCTAATTACATGTTTTCCATTCTTGGCAGCCTTACTATGGATACAGCAATCAGGAGGTGATTGAAATGATCAGGTCCCGCCAGTTGCTCCCCTGCCCCGAGGACTGCCCGTCGTGCATGTACTCAGTCATGATGGAGTGTTGGCACGAGGTTCCACTCAGGAGACCACACTTCCCAGAGATCACCGCTCGCCTCAGATCATTCTCGACCATGAGGCCCATTTATTCTCAGCCGAGTCCTCCGCACGTATAGCAATTACCGTCACCGCAGCCCAGCCATAGGTCAACTTTAGGAAAGTAATTGATCTTAGCTGCTGTGGTGAGATGATATACATTCAGCAGCCACATTCTTTTTAATTACTTTAGCAATAACAGGTAACATTTTTATAACATGAATTGAAGGTTTCAGAAGTTTTCATTAGTTATATATAATGAAGGAAAGAGCCTATAAAATAAAATTTCTAAATGAAATCAGAAAAAATCTGTGTTATTAGAAAGGCAGTTTAAGAACGTTTTTCTTAAACTGTTTAATATCGTTTATATCTAATCAATTTTATTATATTTTATAAATTTTGGTTCATTTTATTTTTTATTCAAAGTTTGTGATATTTTTCTAAAAAATTAATAATTGAATTCTTTCATTTCAACAAAATTATCAAATAGGTTGTAGAGTCAAATTAATAAAGAATATTGTTAAGTTATAGCCAGCGTGTGTAGGTTTAACGTCCTCACATACTGTTGGGAGGGATGAGTCATTCTGTAGATTATCTACCTATTATAACCTTCAATATTTATTTCGAATATATCAATGATGAAACTCTTTATATTTTACTAATTTGAAGATAAATTTATTGTTTTTATTAAAAAAGAATAGGTTTTTTTGTTTGCACAATTTAAGAGCCAAGAAGAAAGAGTTACAACTGAATGTAATTTCAGTAACTGGGCTATCTATATTCTCGAATCATCTAAAAAATAATATAAGCAATGTCTTGACCTTGATTTACTTAAAATATTTTTTATTACACGCACCAATGAAAAACTTAATTATTGTCTATTTTTTTAGTTTTTAGAAAACAAATTTTTAAGCTACTCTACTTACCAAAAAAATAAGTTTTGATAGAATATATACCTGTGCAAAGTGAATAATTGTTTTGGTCCAAGTTCTAAATTGATGTTTTGATTTTTTAGAAATTATTCCATTGCAGAGTTGGATAAGATCTATCTAAATTAAAAAATGTTAGTATTATGTAACATTTTCTTTTCTTTTTTTTTTTTTTTGGCATTTTGTAATATTATAAATGAAACTGCTTTATTTATTTTATACACATAAAATGAAGAGATATGTTTATTTAATACCTTTTCCATGTTAGTTAGCTTATTATTATTGTAGATAAACATTTGAAACCTTCAGTTTAGGAAAGTTTCCTCATCCAGAGAATGTTTTATTCTTGGCAATGGTTTTAATTTGATCAAATTTGCACTGGTGTATGTTGATTTAGTTTGTTTGTTTTTTAAGTAGAAATCTATCGGTTTTAATTTTTAGTTATTATTGTAATTTTAATTATTTAGTGTAAAGGTGAGCTCTTATTACTAGAGCTACAAAATAATTTTAATCTTCCATTTTGTACTACTTCCTAAGTTTATGTTCTGAGAATGAAGCATTTAAATTTATACTTAAAAATTTTATATTTATACTTTTAATAACTAGCAGTTATTTTTTGTTTTGGTCTGTTACTGTTTCTTAGGCTAGAATAAATTAAGGTTATTCTGTGTTTTGTTTATGTCGAAAAGATCTTTAGTTATTTATTTATTTATTTTTTATTAAAAGTAAAGAATTTCAGCTAATTTTATATTCTGTATTGTAAGTATTTAATGCTCGCTATATTAGAACAATTGTGTGTGGTCTGTTACCATTATGTTGTTACTGGATTTTATTAAATTAGAGCTGAATAATCTAGGTTCTATGGTATACCGGTAATGTTTGGTAATTATTCCGTTATCTTAAATCAAAATACCATGTAACTACTATCATTATTTAGTTATGATATACTTTTATAAATACAATCAAACTTCTATATATCTAAATTTAACTTTTGCACAAAATAAGTGTTAAAATAAGCTCTTTTCTTTGTTGTTTGATTGTATAATTATCAAAGTTTTGTTACCGCCATTTTCTCTATAATTAATCTGATTTTCTTTTTTTATTAAAATATTTTCTGATCCAGTACTACACTTATAACTATGTTAAGCTTATATTGTTTTCATCAATGAATAATAGACATAAAAAAAAAGAAAGTTTTTTGATTGGGTAACTTAATTGTTTCTGGGATGGCATATCTCTTTTTAAATTATTCAGTCATCTAATAAATCAGAAATTTCCAACATGGCTGTATATTAAATTTTTAATTTGTCTAAATACTGAATTTTTTCTTATTTACATACTTAAAAGATGTTCATACATTTATACTTTTTTTAAAAAAATGTAATTTTGTTGGATATAGAATTCAACCATTTTACATAAAACTTCCTTTACCAGTCATTTAATCTCCACGAGCTATTTATTTTTCTGAAGTAAGAAGTAAAAAAAAACAACAACATTTTTTCAGGGTGGGTGCTATTTTTACATCCTGGATCAATTAAAATAATCCTCAAGTATCTGTATCCTAGTGGTCTCTGGTTTTATACCTACATTTTTGTGTTATAAAATTTAAAAGTTTATTTTATTATGTAAAATACATGTTTTATATGACTGAGTCTTAAATGTATTTACTATTTATGAATACGTATATACTTATTATAAATTTTTATTTTTTGTAAAATAATGTTTGATACTTAAAGAATATTCAGGTATAAATTTGCATGATGAAATTATTGATGCAAAAATTAACAAATGTATTTTTATTGGTGTCATGAAAGTTGACTAAAATTTTGTTTTTCAATAATGTAAATGAAATTTTAAATTTTTTCTTTGAATTGATGGTGTCAATTCCATAAGGTGAGGTTTTTCGGTTTGTTTAGAATGATAAACAAATAATGAAAATTCATATTTTTTTTTAAATATCTGTTTCAAGAAAATACTGAAACATTTTTCTTTTATTTACCCCCTTTGGAACTGACACTAGTTAATTGATTCTTTACTGTACTTAATTTTCAAGTTATTCTCTGTAACATTTTTATTATGAAGTATTTTGTTTGCTAATATTTCAGGAAAATTGTTTTTATTGAAGGGACCATTTATTTTCAGATGCATTCCTGTACATTAGTTTATTATATTTCGTGAATTTGAACAATGTATTTATTTTTTCAATTTATGAAACTGCTTATGTTATAGTTGGCTCTATAATAATCATTGTAGGCTGATATTCTATTTATTCTTCTATAACTTAGATTAATTGAAAAAATCATCCAATACTTGTTTTCTCCCAAAGATAGTTTTGTTTTTAATTATTAGATCTGTTGAAGGAGTTAAAAGGAAAATAAAACATCTCTTACCAGAGGTTGTATTATATCTTAATGTGTACAGTCTCTTCTCATGTGTTGTTGTAAATAATTGAAGGAAAAAAAATGTGTGTAAAGTTGATTTTTACTGCTTTTATACTCATTGTTAATTTATTAAGTGGTCATAGGAACTATAGTTCTTAAGCATAAGGGCCATCTCCTTACCAAAGTTGTAAATAAATTATGTGTATTTAATTTATATATATATATATGAATACCATTATATTGTCTCCTAAATTCATACATTGTATTATAAAAAAACAATCTTTTCTTTTATTCACCTCATTCCTTAAAATGTGCAATTGAATTGCGCTCACACATGTTTATAGCAGACCTGGGCAGTATTGTAAATAAATTATTTTAAAATACATATTTTGCACTTTAAGAAGTAAAATAAATTGTTTGTAACAGTATTTTTTATTTGCAGTACAAAAAAAGTATTTGTATTTTTTACCCATTACCAAATAGAGTAAGTTCTCTGTATTATAGGCTGATCATCCCCCAATATTTTCTTCTTGTTTTAATCAAAATTAAAAATACTACATTTGAAAATAGCTTAAACACTGAATTTTAAAATACTTTTTGCCCTGGTCTGGTTTATAGTTGATAACTACCTGAATTACAAATGAGTGCTAAGTTAATTCTCAAGAGGTTTCACAATAATGCTGGCAGTAGTATAATTAGGAATACTTTGTAAAACGAAAAATCTGGTGGAACATTTGCACACAATTTTCGTATATCATCATAGAGGAATGATGACTGATCACATTAGGGTGTGGGTCCCAGAATGCCTGGTTCTAAACTGTGGGTTTGATTCCCACTTAATTAATTTTTTTTTTTATTCTCACCTTTTAGGCCATACAGTGTTTTGCTGGGTCAGAGAATGAGGGCAGAGAATTAATGCTAGAGTTATAAACATTCCTTGGCACCGGGATGCGAACTTGTATTTATTTTATCGTTTATAACTTCAGTTATCAGGTTGCTGAGCAATGCACGGTGCTGTGCACATGCGTTACCACGTTCGGCCACCCCACCCCCCACTCTGGTTAGTACACTGTAGAAAAATCTTGTGTAGTTGGAAAAAAAAAAAGGCCACTGCTTTAAGTTCTCTCATTACTACCATAATATCATACTTAAATAAAGAAGTTCTTACTTAGGCTGAATTATTTTAAATTAAAAATAACTAAATGAAAGAAAGATTATTAACCTTTTTTTCCAACCCCTAAATACGACTTGGAAGTTTTCTGTGGTATGCACTTATTGATGTCTTCTCAAACAAAAAGTGTGATAAAACAGTTCTACAATTACAAAAAATTTGTATTTAAGTTTCAACAGAATGTGGCAGTATTCTATTTTCTTTTAAATATTAGGGTGAATGCACCAGTGATGGGAAGGTTGGATTTTAAATGTAAATAAGAAGTTTCTAGATTGAAGAACAATGTCCTCTATTGATAACTGTATGAACAAGGTTTCCAAAAGAAAATGCCTATCATTGTTGTTTCTATAGTGCTCTTGAGATCGGTGTGTTTCCTAACTTCCTACTAGGAGGCGTTGGTGTTCCTAATAAGAGTTAGTTGAACACTTGTATTATCTCATCTTTATCGTTATCTTAGAAGCTAAATAGAGATTTTAGAATTTTTCTGAGGTATGTCTATTATTGGTACCGACCCTCTGTCCATTACTAGTACAATTGAATTTCGAGGTGTACATTACTAGTGCAAAAAGGTGTTGTTTTTTTAATAGAGATTATATTCATAACAGGGGCCGGTATAACAGAGTGGTTAGCGCTATACTAGTAAAGCAAAGATCATAGAATCGAATTCCAACCCTACTTCCCACTACGGCTAGTTCCCGCGAAGTTAGACCATTACCCCTCTTGATTGGGGAGGCCTACAGGTATAATACTAGTAAGAACAGGCTGTATAAGAAAAAAAAAATATATATATATATATAACTGATATCTGCATGACTGAATTTTTTTTCAATTTTGAAGTGTTAAATAGAAAGAGGGGACCCTACAGATTCTAAATGTTCAATGGAGAAGTTATTAATTATAATAATTATGTTTATCCTAGTCGTCACTAGTTTTCTCGAATTAAAAAAATTTGAATATTTTGACATAAGTTGGAAATTTAGTGTATTCCCATGGCTTCGGTATCAACAATATTACAGTATATTACAGCAACTTCCATTATTTTCCCGGCTGCATAGAATTTTTTATTTTGATGAGTTATATAGTTTTTCACGAGGTCACGTAATACACAGAAGTCTACTATCAACTTAAGGCCTCTATGTATGGCACACCTTTTAACTTATTCCATCTTTTATCATACCTTCTCCAAGGATATGTATGTTGACATAATATGTTAGGTACAATAAATACTAAGATACAAACAAAGTGGCTTAGTCATATAGGCCTCACTATAATTGTATTGATAAACAGGACAAAGTGATAACCATAAAAAAAAATACAAAAGACATACTTTATTATTTTTTTAAGTTAATATAACTTATTTTCTAAAAAAAAAATATAGTCAAAACTTAAAAAACAATTTAATCCTGATTTTCATTAAAATATTAATAATAAAATAAAATTATAATTAATTAAACTGTCTTCATAATGAATATTTATATATACATTGCATACCCAAAATGAAGGAGACATAACTAAAACTTTTTGATACCGGAAAATTAATAGATGAATCCAAAGAGCATCTAACTCTTGAATATCAGGGCCAAAACAACATGTTAGAAGGAACACCTCACTAAGGCTTCTTATGTAGGACTTAGCCAGGATCCGATTTTCATTATTATAAAATACTATTTTTTCTGTTTAGTCCCTTTTAAACTGGTTAAGTGATATAGTATGGTAAGAAAACTTAAATAATAATAAATAAAAACAATGTAACAGTGATAACATGATAATATCAATTATAAAAAGGATTGTAAGTAATCCAATGCGCTTTCGTTTGATTCTGAGCTTTGGAACTTGATGTGAATAATGATTTATAAACAGTAGAAGCATTCGGATCCTTTGCAACAGAATATTCACTTTTTGTTTTTTTGAAATCTTCAGTTTTCATAGATAAATTTCCTTCAGCTGGCCTCTTAAAACCATCTAAAATCAAGATGAGGTCATATTAGGACAAATTTATAAATAGAGGAAGTACGTATGGAGAAGTAAACTTACTTTTTTCAACTTTGATTGGAACAGTTTTTTCCACTTTAACAGTTACTGTTTTTTCAACTTTAGGTATTATTTCACTTGAAGAAGAGCAGCCATTTTCGGGTGGGTTTATGGAATCAATATCAATTTCTTCTTTAATTTCTTTTTTTATTTTCTTTGACTTTTTTTCTGCTTTTATTTTAGCTAGCCTAGCTTCCAATCTCGTTTTCATCAATTCTAAATCTTCACCGTCTGGATTTAATGTAACAATATCTTCTGCAGCAACTGGACTCTGGCACTAAAAAAATTAAAGTAACATGAAAACAACTTCTTAACACATTGTGGTTAAATAAAGGCTTTTTATGCCAATGAATTACAGCTGGAGCATGATTTAATACCACTTATTGTTATTAATTTGATTTTACCAACAATCTATCTAAAAAATTGTTTTGTGTATGCCTGAAATTCCTAATAATATGTGTGAGAAAGGGCAACAACAAATGAGTCGTTTATTTCCAAAATAAGCCTCAACCATCATTGGCAAATTTCCAGGAAACTTGAAAACTATACTTTCTATTCCAATTGTAATATTGAAACTAATATTTCTAAAAAATAGATTTTAAAAAATTTCTTGAAAAAACTATACAGTTTCAGAAATAAACTGATTTTCACACCACATTTCTTTTGTATTTAGGTTTACATAAAAAAAAAAAATTAAAAAAAATATTTGCACTATTAGATTCATTGGATGTTTCTACATAGGAATCGATACTTACCTTGATTTCCAAAAAAAATTATTATGGATCACATTGAAAATAAGCAACTCCAATATTAGTAACCCATATATCTTTATTTACCACTTACATAAAAAATCAATAACTACATACTCTTGCTCTTTTCACAGTTTGCAAAAAATCTATTACTAAGTGTCCCGGCCACAATATTTTTAAGTAATAAACTTCAAGAATGTCAATTTTTTTTTAGTTGGGATTTCTACTACTTTATTACTTTCTTGGTCACATAAAAGAAAAATAAATAAAAGGTGATTGATTCCAAATATTGGCCAAAATATTTTTTTCCATCATTAATAATTTGCAAAGGAATGTAGAAGACAATCTCCTCAGCTTTGCAGCAGAACGTGTGAAAAATATTTAGAAGAACTAAAAGTAAATTTTATAAAAAAATTTAAAAATATACTTTTCACAAGATAAGTTATGTTATTTTATTTTAGAAATATTCTTTCTAAGCTTAATATCTACAGTTCATTATAAAAATAAATGTATTTTATAACTCAATACTTACTTTGTGACAAAGGTTTGACTTGAGCTGCTTCATAGCTCGTTCCGATACAACACAACCGCATCCCCAAGAGAAACAAAATTTGAAATTTCCATTCATCTCGTGCCCAATGACGGGACAAATGTAAGGTGAGCTTTGGTGGTCAACATATTGATCTCCTTTATCAATGCTGGCTTCGAACGCAGGGTTATGAGTCAATTTTAATTCTTTAACATCCTAAAAAAAATAAATAAAAAGTTTTAATGAATATATATTTTTCAATAATAGTTACTATTAAGAATAATTACTAATAACATCTAAGGAGGTAAGAATGTATAACTTGTAAGTCAATATCGCCTTTTGTCCAAAAAGTGAAAATACAAACTATGTTCTTAAATAATATATATATTATAATCAGATTAATTAAGGGTATTTCAAGATAGTATGGGTAGGGTAATTTAATTTATATAGAGGCTGGGTGTGCCTCAGGAGAGTCTCCCAGCCTCAGGATTGCTCTACGGCTAATGGAACAGAATAAATAATCTTTCTGGCATGAATTCGAAACTGGGATCTTGAGCACAATCCTTACATATAAGGTGATAACCTCAGGGCCGTTAGTCTCAGGTTTTTCTGAGGCTATTAACCCGGTCCACAGGGGCACCAGAGTGAGTCACCTTCTCTGAGCTCACCAGGATAACTCTCAGCAGCTGGGTCCTAGTCCCTGAAGTGTTAACATTACATGTCCTGTAATGGCTAAGTTCTGCTGGGGACTCAGTGTTAGAGAGTATAGCCTGGCCACCCTTTCTTCTGAGGGGATACTAATATTCGGAAGACATTTCATTTTTCTCGTACTATTAACCATATAACCTAACTTAAACATTTGTATATGATAATTATATAATCAAATGTTTTAATTGCTTTTGATTCTTTCCTATTAATTTGATTAAATCATCATAAAGTTTTTGAAAAATAATGAATTTATCATATTCATGTTTTTGATATGACAAAAAGCACATATGAGTGTGATCAAAAAATAGGAAGTAACTTTAAGCAATTTATAATTCCTGTTCCTTATTATATTTTACCACACTAAAATATATAAAAATTTATTGAGACTTATTATTAAACAAATATAAGATTAAATAATGATACCTTCAATGACTTAATATGCAATGCGGTCTCTGGCAAAAGAGTTTTATCAAGAAGTGCCATAATAAGTGCATCTTTATTGTAAAGGCGCCCAAGACCACAAGCTACAACAGGATCGTGAAGAGGTGTCTGAGAAATATTACAATGCCTCCATAAAAATGACCGTTGAGCAACTTTATCTTTCTGTAAAAAATAATAAAATAATTATTTAACACACAGTAATGTTTTCAAAAGACATTATAGCAATAAACAAAAGTTTATATATAATCTATACCAGTGGACTCCAAAATATGACCTAGGAGCCAAATCCGACATACAATCATCTCCAATCCAAACCACTAAACTTTCTTAGATTACATGGTGAAATTTCAAAAACATGAAATTTAGTAAATCAATTAAATACAAGATTACTACAACATTTATTGCATGAGTTGTTTCTCTTAGAAAGCTCATTTCACAACTGAAGTGTCATTTATAGAAAAACCTTTCTTTTTTCTTGCAAACCATAGTCCTGCAGAACTTAATAATGGTCTTAATGCGGCCTGAGAGCCAAAAAGTTCGGAGACCCCTGGTCTAGGCTGTCTGTAATAAACAGAACAGCAGTATTTCTGCCATCATTCATGTAGATATAGTTTGATTCCACACCCTCAGTTTATAATACATGGAAAGGTCGATAGTGATATCAGTGAAAACTGTTCCTGCTCCACAGCTGTACTTGACACTTCTTGTCACATTTATTACCTAACAACCTTCCAAAATACTAAAATACTGAACCTAACTTAGAAAAGAAGTAGAAGGACTAAATCAATCTTTATTGTTAAGAGACGCTTCTTGTCCATGTACCAACTATCAAGAGATAGTTTTAAGCAGTTTATGGTATATAGAGCCTAGAAACGTCATGTATCTTTCATCATGATTCTCATTCAGCCAATAAATTTCAAAGTATCTATTTCTGATTAAATAAATGTTTGATATTCTAAACTGTTGTTTCAATATTTTTTTTCTTATGTAAAGAATTTATTATTTTAAAAACAATCAATAATATATAACGCTTGATATTTGTAATTTCAAACATACACTATAATTATAAATATATACCTTAACTATATAAAAAAAATCACTAAATGAAAGTAGCAAGATTTGCTGAATAACCACTTTGATAATGGACCAATGCTATGTAATTAGATAAATCAGATTTTGAAACCATTAATCCCAGACGGTTGTATATTTTATATACAATTTTATATTAGTTTAAAGCCCTTTATAAAATCAACATTAAATGAAAACAGATAAAGTGATGGAAATAGAACTGAAATAGTTAAAAGACACTGAGTGTATGACTTGTGGATAAGGCAAGGGTGCTAAAATGTTCCAAGAAGCAAGAGGAAGGATGTAAGTAAATACAATAATGTGGCAATCAAGCCTGTAAGATGGTGACAGCAATACCATGCTTAAACTGAAGATTGATAACTAAGACTGGAGGAGGAATGAACAACTAATATTACAATTACAAGCTCAAGAGACTGTGACAGAGAAATACCAGGTCTTTTATGACAACAGTACTGAGCTCGGACTGAAAGAGCACAAGCAACATAGTTGACCATTAATGGAGAAGTAAGGAAAAACTAAGGTGACTGGCCAAAGGTAACAAGGCACTGACAGCGGTTCTGAAGCAACGAGGAGCAAAAATTAACATAGATAACTGTGACTGAAGAAGCAAAGAACAAATGTTACTGATCCAGCCATGAGATTATAACTACGGTAGTAATGTAATTAACTGGGCCTGTCAAAGAAAGAAAATGGCTGAGCTAAAGACATTGGTTATGCCAGTAGCAGAGATGGTAAATATCAAAGACTTTCAGTTCATCATAGCATACTTATTACTTGTAATTTCACTAGTTTAAAAAGTAATATTCTTACATTCAACCCAATCTTTTAGGCAATCCATTAAAATCACATTTTAATTTATCTATTACATAGATCCTAGTGACTCTTTGCCGAGACTAGGGATAGAACTAAGACCAAGAATGAATAAAAAGAAAAAAAGTAAATATAAATAGAGATTCTGCTTCAAAGCCTATGTCCTCATGGTTGATTGCCAATATCAAAAATGAGTGAAAAATAATCACACAATCAATGGATATTTGCATAACAAGGCATTTCATATGCAGTGTCTCAAATTTTCAATAAATATTACTAATGTTAACCACAATTACGAACTCAGACTGTAATAAAGTCAGCATTTAGAAAAGTAGGAGTTATATAGGCCACTTTACATCTTACTGATATCCTTTAAAACCGTCAATATAAACTACATGGGGACAAAGAAACTTGATACACTTAATAAGAAACACACTAATGCAAGATTCATAGACTGTACCAACCTTAATTTTGTTCAAAGAATATTTACTTACTTAAGCAATATAAAACTTTTTTAAAACAGAATTAGATCAGTGAATATAAATGCAATAAGATATAATTTTGAATATTTGCATGATATTAAATTGACAATATTTACCTGTTCTGCCTTCTTTTTCTTTCTCACTAATTCATCTCTTTTAGGAATCGTACCACCATCACAACCCATCACTAATTATTATTATTGGACTTGTTCCCTGTAAACTGTGTTACTTCTCACAACACTGGAAAATACTACAATAATAAACCAAAGAGGTTGAAAAAAATATTATACACATAAACTTAATCGATAGTTAAACCTGCTAAGTTTGAACGAATTCGAAGTCTTATTACGACATAGAAGTCCATCGTTCCACAATAATGACGTGAGAGTTTATAGCACTGTATTCGGTTACTATTATTTGGAATTGATACATAAAAAATATAATTTTAATTCCTAATAAAGTAGCAATCCGTCATTAGTTTTTGAAATAATAAAAATAAACCAATAGAGATGTAATAAATATTTAATTTTGAAATAATAATAAGGAATAAGAATATATGTATTCCCTAATGTCTTTAATGTAATTAATTTTTCTTTCTTCTTCTTCCTTCAGATCACCGCTTCAAAAATTATGAAAATTAAATATTTAACAAACTTTGAAACCGATTAATATTACATTGTTTATATTAATATCGTTCATTTAAAATCTTGAGTGACTCACGATATTTTATGTTAGAACTATAATATTGGGGTATCAGAGTAACCATCAGTCAAGGACAAAGGACTTATTAAATGTTCGCTGTTTCTACTCAGTTTTTAAATATAACAAATCAGGGTATTAGAGGACATAACTAACTAACTCAATTATGCTCCAAAAATCTATGAGCTATTGTCTAACTCAACTTCAGAAACTTAATTTTCCCTGAGAACATGTATATAGAGGCAGCAATACCCGATAAAATCACAACTTAGAAAGTCGTTGTAAATCATTTATGAAGTATCTCCTAACTTGCATTGAAAAACTATTGTTAGTCAGGATGCAAGGAAATCATTCATTAACTTCATCCTGGTTAATGTACAAACGATAAGAGGTTAAGTAAGTATACTTCGCGTTAGAGGTCGTTGATTCAATGTCAAAGTTAACATATTGGAGGCCGTGAAGACATTATAAGTAATACTTTTATTCATAATGTCTGTTACAAATGGCATCTAACATACAGACATATACTATAAATATATGGGTTGACTACAAGAGTTCACTCCAAATCTCCTGGCCAGACTGTGACTTCAAGAATGTAACTGCAAGAGTGAGTTATCAGAGATAGCTTGCGTGATTATCTAGAGAAAGCTTTGTCCTTTTAGTTGTGAAAATTGTCAATACAAAATATGATTCACCAATTGGCATACTTAGCAAACTTAATTATTTAAGTAATTGTTAAATTAATATTATTATTTGTTACAGATAAAGTCCATTCCATAACTCAAGATTATTAACGTTTATAAACCAACGGAAGGAAAAGATAGTGAAATGAAGGATTATTTCTTAATGATCGGCCAGAAAATGTTGACAAACATATATTCCCGCACAAGGACATCCACAACATTTGCGAATCCAGCCGGGGTGGCGCACCCCTCTCCCCTGGAAGCTGGAAAAATTCTGAAAAAAGTTCAAAAAGCAGGTATTTAAAGAAAAGAGAATCTTATAGGGAAAATTCATCCTCATAGACGAATTTCCTAATGTATTATAAAAAAAAATTAGCGTGACCAGCTCTGGCGAATTCTGCCAGAGTGCGCGCCCTCTCTTGGATGGTGGAAAAAAAGTTCCAAAAAACACCTATTTAAATAAAAGAGAAATACAGTAAAAAATCATCCTCTAAGACGAATTTTCTAATGTGATCATCATCATTCCAAGCACGACAATCTATTACTGGATCTTAGCTGCGTCAAGAGTTTTCCTCCATATTTCCGTGTCCTCAGCAGCCTCCACCAATTCCTGGATCCATGGATTCTGGCATCAGCACTTACTCCATCTTTCCATCTCAGTTTCGGTCTGCCCATTTTTCTTTTGCCATCTGCTCCATGCTCAGCAGCTTCTTTGGGATTGAGGTTTCGTCCATCCTTACGACTTGGCCTTCACATCTCAGCCTTGCTATCCGTATATATTTCAATACAGCCAGGTCCTTGTATAAGTTGGCTAGTTCTTGGTTGCGTGTAATTCTTAATTTATTATTCTTCTTGACTGAGCCAAATAACTTCCGTAGGACCTTCCATTCGAAAACTAATATTTTAATCAGCTGTTTAACGAGAAGAGAAATGTAGGAAAGATTCATCCTCATAGGCGAATTTTCTAATGTAATATACTAAAAAAATTATTGTTTTGACAAGCACTAACGAATACTGCAAGGGGGCGACCCTCTCCCTGGATGGTAGACTAAAAATTCCTAAAAACAGTTATTTAAAGAAAAGAGAAATATAGGGATAATTCGTCCTCATAGATGAATTTTTTAATGTAATATTTAAAAAAATTATTATCATGACCATTTTTATTAATCTTGCGGTTTGTCATATCACGTCACCTCACCAGGCCATGGACCAACTTGCGCCCGGCCTTTGGTCCACGGCGAGATTTTGTTAAACAAAGAATAGAATGTAGGAGCATAAGTTGGCTCGCAGGATGAAATGATGTAGGTTTTAGACCACCTTGCGATGCGAAGGCTTGTGCTCCAGTCGCAATTTGTTCCTACTGACTCCGAACTTGGTCACGCAGGTGAAATACACGATGAAGGAAAATTAATTTAAAAAAGAAAGAACTTCATTTATTCTTTCGACCAACCATTTTACGAGCACATACGGTTTTTCTCCCCAACCCCGTTTTTATTCAGTTCCAATAGATCTGGATCCATTGCAACCTTTTAACTACAGTCTAGCTGCAGAATCCATGCGATTCATAAAACTGGTCACGATAATAATTTTTATATTTTTCATTAGAAAGTGTTATTTATTTTGTTGTTATTTTCTTAAAATAGCTGCTGATGGGCACGTTTTCATGAAGGAAGGTACTGATTATTTGGTCTCTAATTTGATCGGAATTGGAAATTATTTTTCTAGTCGGAGTTTTTTTTCTTAGAGAACTTTCATTTCCAAGCAGCAGGGCCATTTATAGTAATCTATCTCAGATTTTGACAATGTTGGTAAAAATAAGCGTCCATTGACCGTGGTTATCGACTATATCACTTAATCAAATTATTAAGTTTAGATACACGTTCGACGCACAATTTGATTTCTTAAAGAATACGTTTTTCACTTTGATGCACTTTTTAGTAGTAATACATGAAAAAAAAGATCTGATAAATCTGGATTATTTGGCTGTAAAAAGTTTTGTTTGGTGACCCTTGTTAGCAATTTTGTTTTTTACATGTCTAAACCAATATACAGAGTGTTCTGTAAGTAGAGGGGAATATTTACAGAAGTGATAGCAGAACTCAAGAAATACAAAAAAGTTTTTATAAACAATGGTTAAAGTTTCAGCAGGAAAATGTAAATTAAATTTTTATGATTTTTCAAGTATGCCAGGTTTTGTTAAAACCATTTAAAGGGGGCCTTTGAGCAGCTAAACTCAGCTAAGGAGTGGGGGAATGTGTAGTGGTGGGGGAACAGGTGGGATTGGGAGAAGTACCTGGATCACAGTTATACCTGGGTAAGCTGTAGAGGTGTGAAAAACTAAATCAACTAGGTGCTGGTAGAAAACATACATCAAAGCTCCTATACCAGACATACAGAAATATAGAGAATTCTTATTATCAGACAAAAACAGCTGCAATGTAATTTAGGGGAGACATGGTTGTAGCAAGGAACACCTTCTTTTTTTCATTCTGAAAGAAAGCAGTGCGAGCGGACTCCCTCATAAACTATCTTTGGGTTTGCTTCCATAAAATTCATGACCAAAGTCTTTGTATCTTCAACCATATAGTTGTCAGATGTTTGTGTTCCAAGAATTAAAAGGGTTGCTTGGGACATGACACAATTCTGCAGCCTATTTTGAATTTAATTCAAGATTTGAGTAAACCCAGAACCAGTTACACAGAATTTGTAATTAAGATAGGTCTGACATAGGCCATGTATATGATCTCCACATCATGGGTAACTCCCAACTTGGACCCAATGAATCGCTGCAGAAATCATAATTAGAGTTCTACTGACTTTAAAATTGTGACTTCTTGTTGCCTCCAGATAAGTCCCTTAAAATACCAACTTCTGGGGCATTTTATTACATATTAACTGATTCTCTGATTCTTTTTTTATGCTAATACCTTATCCATTTCTAAGATACTAAAAGTTATAAATCATGTTAGACAATCAATATGGTCTATAACTTAAAAAAGTTTTATTTTGTATAATCTGTTTTAAAACTATTAATATTTCTTAAAAAGATAATCTATTGTAGTTAATGTCAAAATCATAATTTTTACATCTTATCATAGGATAAAATAGTTCAACTGAGCAAATGACATCTATTATATTTATCAAATCTGGAAATCTATTTAGTTAAATGACCTATATTTAAAAGAACAATAAATAAACATATGTCCAAATTAAAAATTTGTATTAATAGAAATAAATGTCTACATTCAAGTTTATAAAATGTAATATACAAATTTACAATTTAAAAAACATTGGTACTGCTTCATCAATGAAGTACAAAATCAATGTTTATAATGATAACAATAATGAGGATTGGGTTAGTTTATCTTCTTTTCTTTTGCGCTTTTTTCAATTCCTTTTTCTTTATCTTATTAAGCTGCTTGTTTCTTTTAATTAACTTCTTCCTTTTTGATGATCCTAACCATATAGGATATTTATTGTTGCTTCCGAAATTTGAGGCATTATCATTTGTTTCCATTGGTTCCATTGGTTCATCACTACTTAAAACTGTAGGCTTAGATACAACTGAAACAAAATTATAATAATAGAAACACAAAAAAAAAATTAAACGACTAATGAAATTGGGAGAAAAAAAAATTAAAATCATATTAAATTACTATTAATTTTTCTTCACTTTTTATAAGAATAATATTTAGTTTTGGAGTATCTAATTTATAACACTGTGTTACTTGTAGAAGAAGTAAAAGTAAGGATAACTTTCAAGACTAAACTAAGTTATCTCCTATTGAATCTCCTTAACTATCTATCCTTTGCCATTATTATTTCAGCAGTTGGCAAGGTAATGAGATGCTTGATAAAGAACTCAGGTTTGATACTACACTGACAGGCAAAAAATTCCACCCACTTGATTTTTTCATGTTTTCATCTAAAAATATTTCTGCTTTGGATTGGTCTATTGTTTTTAATGAATAAATAGGTAATCTTTTTGTTTGTGTTCAATTAGGAATGTTAATATAGAGGACAATAACCCTTAATTCAATGAAATGATTCTAGATTCCAATGTTTCCAAGACTTCAAGATTCCAAAACGAATCATTATTATTCTAAAAGAAATTAATTACATCATCGTTTAGTAGCGCGTGTTTCCTCCTCTTGCCTTTACTACTTCTTGAAGACGCCTCGGCATACTTTCCACCAGTCGGGAAATGTCCGTTTGCTGGAGGATAGCCCATTACTCCCAAAGAGCCCTTTCAAGGTCCTGCAGTGTAACAGGAAGTGCTGCACGTGCTTGTATTCGTCTTCCGAGATTATCCCATATATGCTCAATAGGGTTCAAATCTGGAGAACATGCTGGCCAGGCTAAAACCTCAATATTGTTCTGTTGAAGGAACGTCTGCACTATGCGGGCATGCATTGTCATGCATTAGAATAGAACGATCGCCGATTTCGTTGAGGATAGGCAACACATGAGGGTCCAAAATCTCATCTACATAGCGAATGGCTGTCAAAGACTCTCCACGAACAACAACCAATTCTGGGCGGCGCTCCATTGAAATCCCAGCCCACACCATTAAGGAGCCACGTTGGAAAGATTGGCTCTGGGAAAAATTACAGGTTGCATATCTTTCGTTTCTTCTTCTCCACATCCTTTCACGCCCGTCTGGAGATCAAAGAGTGAATCTTGACTCATCTGTAAAAAGTACAGCACCCCATTCGTCCATAGTCCAATGGCTGTGTTCTTGAGCAAAAGCCAGCCGTGTTACTCTGTGAGTTCTGGTCAACTCTGGTCCTCTTACTGGACGAAAAGCCATTAATCCATACTCATTTAATCTTCACCGAGCGGTATGTTCAGAAATTTGCACACCTCGAACTTTTTCGAGCTGATGAATCGCTTGAACAACGGTAAGGTGCCGGTTTCATAAAATTCTCAAAGTCAAAAACCGGTCATCCCGTGGTTCTGTTACCCTGGGTCGTCCAGAACCGGGCCTTCTACTGTAGGAACCAGTTTACCGAAAACGCCTGACGGCATCTCGTAAAGTTTCATATGGAACTCCGATGGCATTAGCTGCATATCTAATGGAACGTCCATTATCAATAAGTGCCACACCACACGCAACATCCTCAGCACTAAGAGGCATTTTTAAACTTAATATTGAAAAAATTAAAAGCCGGAGACTAAGAAATGTGCTGCAAGAAACGGCACTGAACTAATGATACTGAATAAACATTTTGATTCCATAGAAAGTAAACATTGGAATCTGGAATCATTTCATTGAATTAAGGATTAAGGGTTATTGTCCTCTATATTAAAAGGAAAAAAAAAAAAAAAAAAAAACCTGTACCACTACAACCCATGAAGGGTCTGAATACTAATGTGAATTTTTGATTGTCAGAAACCGGTAAACCATAAAGTAGACAAAGAAAAGATCTGCAATACATATTCAAATATTTTCCGCCTCTTGAAACAATAGCCTATGTAATCCTTAATATAACACAAACTTACATTATGATAAATATTTTATAATATGTTGTCCTAAGTATCATTTGCATACATTGAAATTTTCTTTATTATAAAAATTATTCATCTAACCCTTGTATACTTGCTATCAAACTAAGCTATATTTATATTAAGGTGGCAACCTTTTGCTTATGTTCATTTTAATACTAGTCAATAGTCACATTTCTGTAACCATATGAAATAACTCAAATATTGTACACGTCTGAAATATTTGTCAGCAAATTATGTACATTCTACAAACAACAAATGTTACCCTCCCTTCTCCTCTAACCTTGTTTACTTACCTTTTGCTATCTGAAAAAGGACAGCTGGGAAATCCTCTATCCCTAACCTTTTTACTTACCTACCAAACATGTGTCAGTACATGAACAACCTCAGTGCTCAAACCACGGTTAGTAAGAGAAAATATTACAAATTTATATAAATGGATTATATACATTATTTTTTATTTTTAGTTTGTATAACTGTTTTAATATGTTGAATATTTAATAGTTGACCGTTGCATTATAAAGGAAGGAGATGGTCCGGGGTTGCGGTCATAAATAGGCTAAATAGTTTTACCACTATTTAGCCTATTTATGACCGCAACCCTGGACCATCTCCTTCCTTTATTTTAATATGTGTATTACAATATTAGTTAAGATTCATGTGCCATCAATCACTATAGTTTATTATTTATAATTAGAGGTCGTATAAAATAATATCTCTGATTGTAATTTAAAAAAACAATTTCAGCCCTGAAGATGACCCACATGTTCGGGTTGAAACGTTGGCAAAAATAAAAATTTTAAAAAAGACTGCGTCCTGAATATTTATCACCTATGATAATAAATATCATTCCATCCCGTGAAACTTCATACCGACTTTACTTTGTATCAACAAAAGTAGAATCATCTTAACCTAATAATAAAATCTAAAAATTAATCTTAAATACCTTGATTTATCACCTATGATAATAAATATCATTCCATCCCGTGAAACTTCATACCGACTTTACTTTGTATCAACAAAAGTAGAATCATCTTAACCTAATAATAAAATCTAAAAATTAATCTTAAATACCTTGAACAACATCAGTTAGACTGGACATATTTACATCCCCTGAATCTTTATCAAGGGAATTATTAACGATCATTTTAAGCTTTTCAAGTTCCTTTTTTCCATATCTTTCTCTTTTAATAGCTCTCATCTTTCTCTTCCATTTGCTTCTTAAACTTTTGGCCATCCTGAACTGAGGTTAAAATCTTTAAGCACCTGTAAAATGTTGCTACGATAAAATTCAAATTTGAATAATGTGAAGATAGGAAGTTTGCAGTATGTACAATATGACACCAACACTAAAAATATGCCTAAACTGTAGAAAAAATCTTATTTGTCAACAAGAGGTACTAACCTGTAATGTTATAAACCCACGTGGGTAACTTCGAAAGAGGATGAATAGAGGTCGTTTTCAACTTCAACAGAAGATGATATTTCTAAATCGCTACTCTGGTACCTGGTTTCACTTCAGCATTTGGATTATTCTAAAATAGGTTATTTGTGTCAATTTTGGAATCACTCCTTCTTAGGTCGTCTTAAATAATTTATTTTTAACACATTATTGTGCTGAATATTTTAGAAGAAATCTCAGCCATTATATGAAAGCCGTTATAGAAAAACCAGTCCGGTAATGGAAATCAAAAAAATTAACACCATCATTTTTGAAAATGCACATAATCCAAAGTCAATTCTAGCTCAGCATTTAACCATATTTAAAATAATTGTCTTTAAGTATGTTCCTAATGCGATTAAATTGACACAACCACTTTTTAAATACAGTTACATGGATTCAATCAAAATTTGTTTTTGCATCAGTTTTGGAAACGCCTCTTTCTGAGTCGTCCACTGGGTATGGACAGAGGAACGAGGAAGTACTGTTCTTAAAAAAAAAAACGTGATCAGCGGAGCTCCGCCCGTAAATTTTCTACTGATTTTTAATTTAAATAAAATTTAAAGGGATTAAATTGTTTCATTGGCGTTAAAAACATTACAAGCTTTGTAAATTTTTACCCAAAGGTTTATTGTATTCGAATAGTTATAAGTTCCATATGTATAGCGAACATGTCCTGGGCATGACGTTAAACTGCATCCTGGGGGGACCCATCTCATAGCCGTAGTGAAGGCAATTTGTAACTCCTAAATCAAACCAAGGGTAGGTTGGACTCTTCAGCTGTGGTGAAAGCAACTAGCCTTGGAGAGTAAAACCCTGAAGACAAATGACCCGGTCCTCCAGGTTCGGGGTTGAGCGTGGGGCCAACTACCCCTCCTAGGAAAACAATTAATGTTCAGAAAATTGAGTTAAAATGAAAGTCGGATGTTTCTAATGGTAAAAGACCTAACGCTCTCAACGGACTAAACTAAAATTGAAGCAATATGAAGTTTCATTAGCCACATGGAACGTAAATACAATGTTAAGACCAGGCAAAATGAAAGAAATTGCCGACCAGCTCATAAAGCATAATATAGATATTACGGCACTGCAGGAAATAAGATGGAGTGGAAGTGGGAGAATTGGTAAAAAGGAGTTCTCCATATTATACAGTGGTCCGGATAAGAAAACTGGTCTAGCAGGAACATAGTTCATTGAGACATTCTATTCTTAATTTTGACCGATGCATCTTAAACAGAGGATCCTAACGATGACATCAAAGAGAAATTTTATGATATCCTGGTAAGCAACATTGGAAAAGTGCCCAAATACGATGCAATTGTACTATTAGGAGACTTCAATGCCAAAATTGGGAGAGAAGAGGTCCTAAAAGAAGTCGCTGGAAGACACTCATTGCATGAAGTAACGAGTGAGAATGGTCTGTTTCCGGCCCAATGTGCAGAAATGTACAGATTGCGTATAAAAAGCACGTATTTCCCACATAAAAAGACACATAAAGGTACTTGGGGAGCACCTGGAAGAGATGTTGTGAATCAAATAGATCACATCATGGTATCAGCTAGACATGCATCAAACCTCATAGATGTGAGAAGTATGAGAGGTCCTAACTGCGATTCAGACCACTTTTTAGTTAGAGCTAAGTTAAGGCAAAAGTTAGCAAAGGTGGCAAGAGCGGAAACTCTCAAATGAACAAAATGGGATACTGTAATATTAAAAGTGGTGAACGAACTAAGGAATTTTCAAGAAGTTATGGATAGAGAGATGGAGAGAGGGAAGTTAGAGAAATACAAGCCAGAAGAGGAGATGGGGCCAATTGAGAAGAAATGGAAAGCTGTGAAGGAGGCTGTAGGCAGGGCAGCGGAAGAGACATCGGGAGAAATTACAAATGGAAAAAATGACGAATGGTTCAATGAGGAATGTGCGAAAGCCATTTAAGAGAAAAATCAAGCCAGACAGAAGATCTTACAAAGGTTCACAAGGCAAAACGAGGAAACCTATAGTATGAAAACAAGAACAGCTAAGAAAGTATGTAGAGAGGAAAAAAGAAAAATGATATGTAAAAGGATTGAAAATATAGAAATGTTGAACAATGTGAATGAAAGTAGAAAATTTTATAAGGGAATTAATTTGTTCAGGAAAGAGTATCAACCGAAGCTGAATAACTGTAAAAGTAAAACAGGAGAGGCTTCGGATGGAGATGGAGTGGTGATGAACAGGTAGACTGAACACTTCTCCGGGTTGCTGAACATTGGTCTCTTCATATAAACCTAACCTCTTGGTGGAGGATGTTCAGAGTGGAGAAGAATGTCAGGTGTGGCAACCACAACCGCTAGTTGATAAGCCTGACAGAGAGGATATCGAGTTTTCCATCATGGACTTGAAGAACTGTAAAGCTCCCGGTGAGGACAAGATAGTTGCGGAATTGATTAAATGCTGCAGTGGTAAAATGAAGGCCTTAATATATCACTTGATCTGTGACGTATGGAGAGAGGAAAAGATACCGGATGACTGGAGGATTGGATTAATATGTCCTATTCTTAAAAAATGCAGCAAGGATCAGTGCACAAATTATAGAGGAATAACCCTATTGAAAGTCCTGTATAAACTCCTTTCTAGTTTAACATTGAAAAGGCTGCGAAAATATGCTGAGGAAATTTTAGATGATTACCAGTGTGGTTGTAGAGCTAGCCGCGGTATTACAGATCAAATTTTTGTTATAAGACAAGTGATGGAAAAATGCTACGAGTATGACATTGATCTGCACTTGTTATTCGTTGACTATAAGCAGGCATTTGATAGCATCAAGAGATCAGCTCTGTTAAGAATGATAATGAAAAGTGGAGTGCCACATAAACTAATTAATTTAATACGCATGATCATGGAAAATGCATCATCCAAAGTTGTTATTGGAAATAAAATTGGTCGATGGTTCAAGGTACAATCTGGAGTGCGTCAAAGAGATGCCATATCGCAACACTATTCAACATAGCTCTGCATGCTGCTGTGAAAGATGCAGCTAAAAAAGGTACCATCGTTGATAAGACCTTGCAAATTTGTGCTTACGCTGATGACCTGGCGCTAGCTATACGAAGTGAAAAGGCGCTTAAAGAGGCATTTGAGATTATTTACGAAAATGGCAACAAAGTAGGACTTGTGGTCAATGAAAACAAAACTAAATACCTGAAACTGTACTCGGCAACAAGTAGAAGATCCTGCAGTGAATTTAGAATAAAGAATTTTAAGTTTGAAAATGCACCTACATTCGTGTATCTTGGTTCTGCCCTAATTAATGAAAATGTAATCAGCAGAGAAACAGACAACAGAATAATAGCTGATAATAGAGCTTACTATGCAAACCTAAAATTTCTCAAGTCTCCAGTGTTGTGAAAAGCTACAAAAATAAAGCTGTATAAAACGATTATTAGACCAGTAATCACCTATAGAGGGGAAACCTAGTGTTTATCGCAAGAGGATTGCCGTGAACTAATAGTGAATGAAAGTGGATAGCTTTATGTATAATATAAGAAGATTATAAGTAACAATAAAATAGAGGCTATATTGGAGAATCAAAGCATTACTAACTATATCAAGGCAAGTGGGCTGAGAGGGGCAAGGCATATAGTTAGAATGGAGAATGAACGGGTGCAGAGAAAAATATTGGAAGCACTCTTTCAGTGGGAAGAGGAAAAGAGAAAGACCGAGAAGGAGATGGAAGGATGAAGTGAAGAGAGACGCGAAGAAGCTAGAAGTTAGGAGAAGAAATTGGAAGAGAGTAGCACAGGACAGAGAGAAGTGGAGAAAGATAACTCAGGAGGCCAAGAGTCATGCTGGCCTGTAGCGCCGAGGAGTTAGTTATGTATAGCGAACGACTTTCACTATCACATTGGAAAATATTTATACACAAAGATAAAGACGTTTAAAATTATTTATTTAATAGTATATCGTTTTAATAAGCTACGTATTTAATTATAAAAATTGTCAAACCAGAATTAAGACTCTACGGGTTGGTTTGAGATATAAATAAAAAAAAAACGGATGCAGCGCGTAAACCGATGAACCGATTTTAATGAAAGATGACCTAATAGTCTTCTCTTCGAAGAAATTTAATTTACGTCTATAATAAACTTCACCCAAAAGAAGACGGAAACAATAATTATGATGTGTTATAGTGTAATAGATATAAATAAGGAATACCATGAAACACCCTTAAAAGAACTGTAGAATAATATCTGAAAATGTCATTCTCTCATTTGGAAAAATAACACTAGTCCAAGCCTATGCGCCAACGGAGGACTGTAGTGTGATGACTCGGAGGAAGTAGAACAATTCTACAGTGACCTAGCTCGCATAATTGAAAAAAGTCGAAGTAGAAATGTTATTATTATGGAAGATCTCAATGCAAGGATATGACCACAGAAGAGTCCATGGATGTATGGGGCTACATGGAGTTGAAAGAACGGGGAACAACAATGACAGGCAACTATAGGAATTTTGCTTAGACAATAAGCTTGTCATGGGTAATTCCTTTTATCCGCTTAAATTGGTTCATAAGATAACCTTTTCAGCACAGGAAGGAAACCTTAATAGTGTGATTTACTACTTTTTGTATAACAAGGAAATCAGAAGATTCTTCACAGACATCGAAGTCATCCGAACCGAGACAAATATGAACTCTACAAAGTTGTTTGGAACAGAGTAAAAGTTGTAGTAAGAGAAGCAAAGAGGAAAGCATGGAAAGAGTTTGGTCGTTCCCTTGATGTTGACTATAGAGAGAATACCAAGCTCTTCTGGCGAAAAAACAAGAATTTGAGAGGCAGAAAGGCAAAACCAGTTAGGAATATAAAGAATGAGAGGGGAGAGCTAGTGGCATGGTGTAAGTATTACTCATGACAGTTTAAAGCCAATCAGGAAGCATGCGATGTTCTTGTTGAAAGAAGAATCTTTCCAGAGGACCAAGGAAACGATCCGATCGAAGAAGGGGAAGTTGAGAAGGCTATTGTGAAGATAAAAACAGAAAAAGCGGTAGGGCGTGACAACGTAGTCCCAGAATTTATTAAATATGATGGACCAGAGTTAGTATTAGCTCTTCAAAACTTATTCCAAACAGCTTGGGACAATAAAAGAATCCCTGAGGAATGAGAGTTCAACGTTATAATACACATCCATAAGAAAGAAAGCCAAAGTGATTGCTCTAATTACAGACCTATCTGCCTGTCTCCAGTCCTCTATAAACTATAAACCTCCATCCTAGAGAACCGATTAAGACCACTGTTGAAACCTGACCTTCTGGAAGAGCAAAGAGCTTTTAGGCCCGACAGGCAAAAAAATGATCACATCTTTACCCTGAGAAATGTGATAGAGAAGTCCTGGGATAGAGACAGAAATATTCATCTCAACTTTTTAGACTTGAAGGCAGCATTCGATTCGGTTCCCCAGAATGAAATTTGGGAATCCTTGAAGGCAAAAAAACATCTCAATAAATCTTTTAAAGGTTATAAAATCGACTTATTAAGAGCTGAAAGATGTAGTACGCTTCAATGGAAAAGTCGGGAGTGTTTAGTCTCGAAAAAGTAGTGAAACAGGGCGATTCCCTAAGTCCCCTTTTCTTCATTCTCCATATGGATAAGATCGCTTCCACCTGCAAAAGGCGCACAGCACGAATGCACATGGGCCACTGAATAAATGCGTCAGTGGCTTCTAGTTTATGAAGTCTCCGTCAAGTTCACTTCTTTCTTTCATAGAGTGGGAATGTCAAGATTCATTTATCGGGTCAGTCAAGCCATAAAACATGATTAATTAATTGATGTGAAAACGGTGTCCTTTGATATTAGGAATTCAACGCGGTCGCTTAGTGTGCCCCCGATTATAAAACGAGTTCAGTATCCAGTGGATCATTGGAATAATCAAGTATTTATTGTTAGCATTATGAGTAGAAAGATTAGTTGAAATGAAGATTAGGCAGCCTCTGTCTCCTATTTTTCCAATCGTAGTAAAGTAAATTGAGAATTAACGGCCCTGAGGTTATCATGAGTTTATAATCAGAGGATCCATCGAAAAACCAATGGAAACGCTGAGGTATTGGTGATTCAAGTAATGAATAAAAGAACGCGTTGAATTCCATTTATGGATCAATCAGCACTCAATTTAGGAACTAGCCCCGCTACAGTTTGCCCTACATCTTGAGAGCTCGTTGAAAAACATTTTATAAAACACATTATTTTTAGCGGAAATACACGTTTTGAGTCAAACTTCTAAAAGAAAACTGATGAGCCGGTAGTTTGTCTCATCCGAGACAAAGGAACAAAGGAGTGGTATGCTCTCTCCTTAAACTAACAATTTATTCCTGCTCCTTAAACTTATAATTTACACCTCTATGTTTTCTGCAGATCCTACTACTTTGACTTCGTTCATGAATTACCGTTCAGGCTATTTGAAAAGAAGCGTGGTTGCTTTAATAAACTTGGTTTTTATTGTTGCTTTATTAAAATGTCATTAGCATACGATTGTGGTGATTTCAAAGGTATTATTAGTTATTGTCAAGTTTTTGTGGTTAAACGTAAAATTCAACTATTGCTTAATTTTTGAACTTTTTTTTTTAGTGGTAACGATGAAGTATTCGGAATCTTCATCAGCTGAACACTATATTTTAATGAAGGAACATTTTGTGCGAAGTAAATGTCAGGAAAAACCACCTGACAAAACTCTGTTTATAGTGGGTGTACCTCCTTTTGTAACAGAGGTATGTTTACAATAATATTTGTGCTATTTATATTTCCTTTATATAACAATTAATTTTCATTTGCCCCTTCCTTTTAGGAACTTTTTAGCGGAATGTTTTCCCAATTTGGTACCGTTAAAGCTGTATTCTTTCATTCCGAACCAAATCCAGGTCTGCCTTTGATGAATGTGTCGAAATTCTTTGTGGATTATCCTGAAGTAAAGGTATTTTATTACAATATATTTTATGCTGTTTTGATTTATATCGTTCTTTAGATTGTTAGAAGTAAATTGTTGAATTAAGTTGGCAGCTGGTTTCAAGATAACGTTGAGCACTCTACAGATGTAATCCTGAAAGTGACAGTGTATTTGAGTATTAGTGTTTGTTTACTTGCAATGACAGACGTGTCTTATGAAACATTTTTTTCTTCGCTAAATGCACTGAAAGCATGGATGTTCATAATCCCAATCAACGATTATGATTACGATTACTGTGTTTTTGATTATGTGATTACGCAATTATAATCATACACAAAGGTTTCTGACTACGATTAAAATCAGGTCATATTTACAGTGCTATTGAAGTAAATATAAAATTGGCATGGTCATTAAGTTTTTTGTTATTGAGAGATATTGAACGATTATCTGACACCTTAAAGGAAACCTCGGTTTAACATTCTTTTCTCTTAAAAATAAATTATTGAATAACTTAATTTGCGATAAACCTGTGATTTATCGAGAACTATATCTTTGCGTTATGAGACCTCCTGAAAATCCCTTTTCTCATTAACTCTAGTAAATTTAAACACCGTTTTCTCAAAGAAAATTTTATGTACTTTACGGTAGTGTACTCAAAATTTAATTGTTTTGAGCAATTCCTTCTTATTCAATAAAAATGTGGCCACCTTAACACCAAATGGGTCTTGACTCTATTTCCATTCGGAATTGGCCCATGCATCAAATGAACTCTTTTGTTGGAAATTTTGTCTAGAATCACCCCTCCATAGTTTGACCATTAAGAACTGAGACAGCCTGTATATATAATATATATATGTACTTCTTGACTAGCAGGCCGGCACTGTTTATAAACTGATAATTCCGATAACACAGTGATAAGCCTTCTCCTACTTCCTATCTTCGTATTATTGTATTATATTTGTATTATTGAAAGTGTAAACAGAAACAAATGTAATAACAGAAAAAATACTTTTATTTTACGACACATATATTAATGATATAATAAAAAAAAACACTAAGAAGATATGTACATATGAAAGATCAAAATGAAATAATAAAAAAACACTTGAAGAACATATGGAGATATAAAAGATAAAAATGAATTAATAAAAAAACATTTAAAGAACATATTTACATAGAAAAGAAAAAATATCAACACCAGAAACAACGTATGTACAAATTGTTTTATGCTATTTAAAATAGCAAGGAACGGGTCCTCTTCTCTGTGAACCCGCCGCCACAAAAATTCGCACAAATATGAATCGAGGTGTTGTCTGGCAGTTCCTCTATGTACTTTATTTCTCCACTTCGCTGAGCCCCATAATTGTTCTATGTGTTGAGTATGAACCTCAGTTGATGGATCAACAAAATTATACTGGTGATTCACTTGAAAATGGTCATAGTTTGCTTCGTTCAGTTGTCGGGTGTTGTATCCTTTCCAACACTTCGAATAAATGGTCGTTCCCTCTTATATATTGTCTTTAATTGCTTGTAATAAGGTTGTTGCTTTATTGTCATTTATATTGATGATAAAACACTCATCTGTTTCTCGGCAAACTCCACCAAACATCCACTGCTGAGGTAAAACTCTTCCCATATGATTTTTTTTGTTTAGAAAAAAGACTTTCCTCTACTTCAAGCACTTTGCCAGGTCCACAACACAAGTCCTACGACAGCATCTCCATTTGGCATTCCTGGTTAACTTCATTCGATGACCTCGTTCACACAATTTCACGTCTGCAAGTATCCCATATTCTAAAAAGATTCAAAATATGATGAAAATAAATGAAAAATAAACACAAAGGGGCCACAAACTAAAAATAAATACAAACGGGCCAAAAACTAAAAATAATAAACAATAAACACAAACGGGCTAAAAGTAAAGAATTTAATAAGTGAATAACTGAAAGGTTTTGCGGGATAAGAAGAGGGAGGTTATATGACCTGACGTTAGATAAGATAGATAAGAAGTGAGGTTTCGTGCCGGCCTGCTAGTCAAGAAGTACCCAAAATTTTAATTTCTTAGATTTTATATTATAATATTTTTGTGGACAGTGAGGTCTTAAATTGTTCATGACTGTGAATTATTTAGGATCTGATAAACGACTTCGGTACATTAATTATTATATTTAAGTTCAAAACAAATTTTATAATGATTGTTTTACAAATAAAAAAGATAAATTACTATTTTTATGGCTTCTTTATTCAGTCTTTATAGTAAATCTGACTACACGTAGATTACACTGCATAAACGTGAATTTGATATACTGATACTTCACTTGAAACTGGACTTCACATTTACTGGTCTAACTCCTGTGAATATGTTTTCTCCAGAGCGCTCTGGAACAAACAGACAACTGGTTCTTGATAGCAGCATGTGGGTTGGGTTCTCCCCTCCACAGTATTTCTAACTCCAACGTATATTTTTGAATTTGAATATTTAATAAGTAAAATCAATATAAAATTTTTGTTGCAGTTATAATTAATTCCATTTTTGTCTTATATTATTAGGAAGATGTTTTATTTTTTCAATTTAATAATTAAATATGCTAGTAGTAATAAGTAAATCGTCAATAGTCAGTCGTTCATTAGTTAATTGTTTTTTCACATTAAAATTTAATTATTTTGAATTTCATAAGAAAAACTGTTGTTTTTAACTTATGACTTATGACATTTATAAATGTTTAAATATTGTTCAACTCGTAGTTGAATTAGTTTTAGTTTAAATATACTGCATTGAACTAATGGTATTGTCTCCAAAATGGATTTTTATATGAATTCTTTATTACAGCATTTTTTGTTTTAATAAATTGTTTACAGGAATACAAGGTGGCATATGTTGTATTTGAGAATGCCAGAAGTGTTGAGAAAGTTCTCTCCATCGATGCTGACGAGAAACTTATTCTGTTGGGCGAAGAGGAGACCTCACCTTTCGGTCTTCATAGTTAGTATTATTTCCTTTTAATAAGTGACAGAAGTAGAAGTTGTACAATCAACTCATCAGTTTGTGATCCTTGCAAATTTAATTATGCAGTGTTAAAAATTAAATTACAATCGACATCTAGGGGCATAAAATAGAAACATTACTTCTATTCTCAGATGCTGTTGCACCAATGTTCTCTAATTTAGTAGTCTCTGAAGATCATAGCCCTGTAAATTAAATTAAAAATTGGACTTCCCGTTCAAGAGATGGCAATAGCACAGATGTACTAGGTGTGGTAAGAAAGTTTTTTTCTCAAGGGCTTTGGAATAACATTCTAAAACACTTTATTTTTGCCCTGCCTTTATAACTGGCAGAGATAGGGTAGTCCCAGATTTCTTATTGGCTACCATTTTGAAACAAAATGGCAGATGGTAATGTCGAATATTGAGGATCATCCTCGAGAGACCTCTACTTTTGATACCAAATCTAAAAAAGTAGTATTAAAAAAAAATCTGAAAACTAAAAATTACAATTGCTCTTTGAATAACTTGAAAATTAATCCTCTTCTGAAAGGCAATAGGTATTAATTTGAAATATAACTGAATACTCTATTTCATGTATTAAATATCACCTAAATTAGACCATGTTAGCAAAGATATTACAGATTTTACTTGGATTTTTTATTTACATGTTCCAAAAGAGCCAGTTCTATATATTTATATATAGAAGAAAGATACAAATTATGCTGTAGACAGATCCTGGAAAAATCATTGATACTAATTTAAACAATAACTAAATTCTCTATAACATAAAAAAAAAATCTTAATAAATTTAAATGTGTCACATGTTAAAAGTAATATATGCATTATAGTTCTTCTTAGCTGAAATTTAAGACTCTCACTAAGATAAATTGAAACACAATTGTAGAAATTAAGCAAAGCCACATGTAACAGCTCTAAATTATATATTTTGATGATGTTTATAACAGTTATATTTATTTATGTTAGGATCCATAATTTTGTCTAAGATAAGTAACTGAAATGCTCAATGTCGAACTTTCAATATTTTTTACTGTTTTATATAACTTCATGGAAAGTCTCACCACTTTGACATCTTTAGTATATAAGATACTTCTTAATATATTGATTCAGTGTTATTTTCCTCTTTCCTATCGTCATCAGTGGCATATCTACCCACTTAGTGAGTCAGGGCCTCCTCCAGTAGATTTTCATCCCTATCCTGCGTGGCCATAGTCCAATCCCGCACACCAAGCAGATTTCTCACATCTCTATACAATATATTAACGTACTCTGTATTTATCCTTGAAGGACTATTCAGGATGATAATGTCTTTTTATTCTAATTCACTTTATTATTACTTTTATTTTGTTTAACATAAATGTAAAAATATTCTATTCAATGTCAGGATGGTGTAAGGAGTACAACAGAAAACTGATTAATCCTGCTGATATCAAGGATGAAATAGATAATTATATGGAAGAATATGATAAGAAAGTAGAAGAAGAGGAGATGAGGTTGAAGGAAATTACTGCAGAACCTGACGAGGAGGGCTGGATTACAGTCACCAAAAAGTAAGATATTATTATATATACATATCATAAACTGAGTGCAAGTTAGGATCTATGATAACCAAAAAAAAAAAATATATATATATTAAATTCAGGAGTAAATAAATGCAAAAAGTGCTTCTTTTTTTTCAGTATCAAAAATTACCTAGCACTTTTTATCTAAGAATTTAGAATTTAACTTTTAAATTTAACCTGTGTTTGCTTCGATAGTACATAAAATAAAATTCGAAAGATATAGAGAAGATTAGCATGGTCCCTGCACAAAGATGACAAAAAAATGAGCTTTGCGACTCCACCAAACCATCAAATTCCTATCGTATTCAATCCTTACAATCCAAAATTCTTAATGTTCCATATCTCGCTGATTTAGCTCTAGCAAGATATATATTCTTTCATGACAAACTGCACTCCAATCCCAATCCACTTGTTTCTATCCTTGCTTCTTCCTCAATTCCTGATATTTCTCCTTGCCATTTGAAAAGAAGAAGGCCTCATGATCTCACTTAGAACTATTTAGGGTGTGCTATTATTGGATAGTGTTTCCACAAGTCTGTTCATGTCATAACCCTTGATTTGATCATATTTACTAGTTGTATTTATTTAGTACACTTGTAAATTTCAATAACTAAATTTTTAAAAATTTAACTTAATTGTCAGCAGTAGGAATAGAACATATTGCTTAAAAGATTTGTCCATATAGATCTGATTTTAAACTTGATTCAGCCCAGATCATCTTGTTGTACAGTTTTATATGGAAGAATAATAGAAAATAAGTTATTATTTTCAGTGATAACTGATATTGAATGAATTTTATTAACATAATACAAGAAAAAAATGTGTCAACTGCATTTACATGCATGCATATGTCTATATTAATTTAATTAATCTGATGTTAATAACATTATAATTTCATTAAATTACAGAGGTAGAAATCCTGGTTTTGCTAGAAAAGAGAGTGTTCATAAAAATATAATGAAGAAGGAAAAACTCAAAGTTAAGAAAAAGCAGCTACTCAATTTTTACAGGTTCCAGATAAAGGAGTCTAAAATGAACCGTATGTATTTTTATTTACTTCATAAATATTTTTGTCGTATTCTAAAATTTAAAAAAAAAAATTCTTGTGCTGGAATGTATAGTTTATTTTATGGATAAGTAATTATAATTATTATGATTGAGCAAAAAAAAATTCATCAACATTTCTACGGATGGTGTTTAAATGGTAAAATGTCAAAAATACATCATATATTGTCTATAGGTTTTTAGACAAGAAACAATCGAATGCTTAATATTAAATATAAATTGGTAATTCTTGTGATTTCTTTAAAGTACAGTGTAAATTATCTGGACTAGTCAATGTTTGTTGTAATCTGAATAAGGAAATATTGAGATATATCGATGCAATTGCAACTGAGAACTAACAATAACATATGATATTGTTTTATATTATTTCTTAAAGCTTTTATATGTATTTTTAAACAAAATTTTCTTCTTTAATACTTCATTAAGATAATAAGAGATTAAAGGAGCTCAACACATATGTAATTAAATGAACAGTTGTATAATTAATGCTAATTATACAGCTAATAGTAGAGCCGCTGTAATCTCCTACTCTCATAATACTAAATAAAAAAAAATACGAAAGTCACTAAAAACTTTTTATATAATAGAGAGCTTTCATTGACTATAAATCTCAACCAACATATCTTCAATTTATCTTCCACAGTCAACAATTATCCACTATTATGAATATAATAAATAAAATTGTGAGGAGCAGATCTTTGTCACTCAGTTCATATTTTATTCCAATTTTTGTCTGGGAAATAGATGACAAAGATGGAAATGATGACAAATAAACGACAATATAATTCTTTCATTAATACTAACTTAAGAAAATTGAATTCCATTTTAAAATCAATTGTACTGATATACTATTTTTTCATGTTTCCTTTTTTGTCATTTTATTATTTATTTCGTGATGGTTCTTTTACCAAAACGATTGTGGTGGGAGAAAAAAAGTTGAGACCTCCAGTAGGATTATCACCAACTTAATTTATATAAAAGTATTCAAAAATTTAACTCAATTAGGAGGAATTTTAGAGATATGCAAAACATTTAAGAAATGCACAAACAAAAAACCTTTTAAAAATGTTTCAACACTACCTATATGGATTGGATAACCTAATATAATTTTTTATGTTACAGAGCTGGTACAGCTTCGGGAGAAATTCGAAGAAGACAAGAAGAAAATAGAACAGATGAAGAAATCCCGCACATTCAAACCTTTTTAATTTATGTGTTTTTTTTTTAATGTACAGTGTAAATATATGTAAATTTTAAAGAAATCCCGTGAATTCAAACCTTTTTAATTTATGATGTGCTTTTTTTTTTTTTTTTTTTTTATGTACAGTTGTAAATATACATAAATTTTAAAGATTTATTTTCTCTCCTCTTTATGCTTAAATTTTAAATGATTGTTTTCTTCTATTTGAAAGGCTATATTCAGTTCATTTTTTTCTGAAAAAACCATTGAAACTGAGTTCAGTTCCTTCTTCATTTACATTCTTGGTATAAATATTCATTTATTGTGCTAAAATTTATTTAATTAGTAATTGTATAATCTAAATTAGTTGTTAAACCTTACAAGGAAGGAAAAAAAGCATGAGAACTCATACATGAATTGTATTGATTATATTCTTCATATTATTCTCATTGGGTATGATGATGATGATTCATAGTATCCTATATTCAAGAGTGGAAGTCCTCTCTATGGAATGCTCCCGATTGCCTAGCATTGACAACAGCTTGATGGACAATGGATAATAATAACCAGCAGCTATTGATACTTTCGCTAAACATTTTTGTGCTCGCTTATTAAATGATCCAATAGTTGGATGTTTTAAAGGATATTTATCTAGCATAAATCTCAGATGTTTACATTTTTAATTTTACTTTTATTGGTGAAAATTAAAATTAGTAATGAAATTAAATTATCAGGAATTTCACTCAAGATATTTTTATTAGGTCAGCCTATTTTTTGACCCATATGTTTGGGTCCAAATGGTGGCTAATTCAATAAAAATATCGACTGAAATTTCTGAAAATTTTGTTTCATCCTTATAATTGATCAGTCGACTACATGCCCACTACTAAAATTAGTGATTGTATTTTTATTTTATACAAGCCCTTCGATAAGTATTGCATATTAGATTTGAACACTAATTTGAACTGAAATTCATCGATAAAAATAATCAATAAATTGTTAAATTTTGATTTTTTACCAGCCAAAACTTTCCTGAAAATACGTAATGTTAATGAGATCTGAGGACCTGAACAGGAACCACCGAATGAAATACATAATAATGTAGAGATGGTTGACCGTTGATATAATATGAGAAGGAGTTAATTGAGGGGGTGCGGTCAAATAAATACTAATTTAAAATATAGTAATTATTTAATTTTGCCGATGTTTCGACCTACTTTGCAGACAATGTAGTTAAAATATTAAGTATTATATATGTAGAAGATATAATAAACAAATTGAAAATTGTATCTTCTACATATATAATACTTAATATTTTAACTACGAAATACATAATATTATATTATGTAGACATTAAAGAATGAAAATCTGTCTTTAAATGCATTTAATTATGCAGTAATAATATTTTGGCTTCTAGAAAAAGAAACGAATATTTGAGTGAAGAAAAGAAATACGATAAATAATAAGTTTTTCTGTCCATGTTTGTGAATTATGACAACTGGCATTCCTTTATCATGCAGACATCCACATCCAACACTCCAGCAAATCAACCATATTTAGCTTTGCCAGTCAGTAAAGATATTATTTCCTGGCTTTCAATGATGAATTGCCTTATGAAAAAGCAGAACCAATACCATTTGGCAGGAAATCAATGCAAAGAAGTGATCCACCAAGCAAAAGGAGCTGCATAGGAGAATTTTGGAAAAATCTTCGATGAAGACCACCAAGTGTATTAAAAAATTATGGCGCAAAGTAAAGACATTGAGAGGGAAAAGAAACAAGCCAGTGATGTTAAAGACTGAAACGGCAAGATGATAACATAAGAGATAAAAATAATTGAGCAGTGGAAGGAGTTTTATTAAGGACACTTCTTAGAAGGGCTTAATGAACCAGGAGAACATGCTGCAGAAAATTATAGTTTGGAGAATTTCGATGTCATTGAGGTAGAGTATGCAATCAAAAAAACTAGAATATATAAAACAGCAGGAAGGGAGAGCATAGCTCCAGAATTATTGAAATTCGGAAATCTAGAACATATTAAATTTCTCCAGCAACTCCTCCAAAAACTATGGTACACGAAGATCATTCCAAGAGATTGGGAGTTCAGTATCATTGTTCCTATTAGCAAGAATGGTAGCTCCTCTGGCTGTGAAAATTACAGGCCAATAAGCTTACTTTTAGTGGCTTACAAACTTTACACCTCAATCCTAGAAAGGACCACAGTCCAGAACCTAATAGTAGAAGAAGCAGGCTTTCGTGGAGGGAGGCAGACTCAAGACCACATCTTCATAGTGAGAAGTATCCCAGAGAAAGCTTGGGACTGAGATAAGAACATTCCATTCCTAGATCTCAAAGATGCATATGACTCCGTCCTCAAAAAAGAAATGTGGGATGCTTTGTAAGAAAAAATATTCCAGGAGATCTTATCACAGGTATTACATTGGTTCATCAGGAAGCGAAAGGAGTAATGAGGATCAATGAGAGAATCCAAGCCTTTTTCAATAGAAAGAGGTGGGAGACAGTCTCAGTTCCCTCTTATTCATTATATTTGTGGATGAAATTTATAAAATTTGTAAGCGCCGTACTGCTTGAACGGTCATCGGTAAATGGAACATGAGGAATGTTATGGTTCAAAGCTTATTGTATGCCGATGACATCGTACTGATAGCAGATACGAAAGACAAGCTGCAACAAGCCCTTATGGAATGGCTACCAACACATCTAACATCAAGATCTTAGTTCTTTCAAGAGAGGAACAAGATGTCCAGCTGATCTGTAATGATGAGGTACTTGAGGTTGTGCAGGAATTTACATATTTGGGGACAGTCATTAGCCATACGAAGAAGATTGATCAGAAGTAGTCAATAGGATTTGCAAAGCCAACCAGGTTTATTACCCTGTATGTAACAGCATAGTGGAAAACAGAGACGTTAGAAATGAAACAAAAACCCATATATTCAAATCTGTGTACCTACCAAACTTTACTTACGGAAGTGAAAGTTGGGTTACGCTGGACAAGTGGGCCAGCCGAGTACCGATTGCTGAGATGAAATACCTGCGGAGGGCCGTTGGTAAGACCAAAAGGGACCGTTTCAGAAATGAACGGAAACGGGAGTAGCTGGAGGTAGTAGAGCTTAAGACTATGCTTGGAAATCGACAACTGGAGTGATTTGGTCACGTTTTCGGGTATATTATGAAAGAGAACCTCGAAAAGTGATGGAAGCTCGACCCACTGGGAAGACCGCGAGGCTGTCCCAGAATTTCCTACCAGGAGTACATGCAGCAGGGATTGGAGAGAAGAGAGGGAAAACTTTCTAAGAGATGAGGCAGCTTAACCAGAACCGAGAGGCGTGACTGCGTCGGATCAAGGTTCCTCGACGCTAGGAAAAGCAGCAGAGGTTGACAAAGAAGAAGAAGACGAATTACCTCGTTGTAGATGCTATCGTAAACAAAGCGCACTATATGGATATCTGTTTTCTCCCTTGGATATTTTAATTTTTACAGTGTCCAGGTCCTCAAAGCTGATCGTAAAGCATAATGCTGTTCCGATTGCATAAACGATGGTTGAGGACTTCCAGTCCACATATTAATAAAACCAAAAGAGAGCATGAATGAATAAAATAATTTTCAAGTTTAGTTTTAAATGTTTTTTATTATACACGTTCGAGAGTATCTGAGGTGAAACAATGCCTTAATTGGTTTTTCTTTTTTATTTCTTAGAAGAGTTTTATGTTCTTGGGTAGTATTGCTGCAGGAATACTAAGGAATAGAATACTACAGAAATAACTGCAGGAAACCATTTATAGAACTAGAAAATGGGAATGGACCCCTTTATTTTTTAGAGGAAACCGATGAGGAATCACTGACTGAAAAACTGTTTTTGGACAAAGTATAATCGAAGAATAAAATAAAGTTTATCTTAAACAAAAAACAAATGACCAATAATTTTCAAAGTTGCAAAAATAACAAAACATTTTGTTTAAATTATTTTTATTACACTTGTTATCATATACTCATTTTAAACAATTTGTCACTACTTTTGCTATAACTATGTATTTATTGTGAAATAATGGGGTTATTACCTGTCTCTCAAATTTAATTTTTTTTTATTTATTTATTTATTTACCCCATATGATGTGGTGTTGAGAACAGAGTGGTAGTACGAGGCTTGAACATGAACTCTTGTACTGCACAGAGTGCATTTTAAGAGTACGGTGGGGAATTGGGAGTACTGTGGTTATTCATAGTTATGGTTCTCTTAATCTAGTGATGGGGCTCACTAGTGTCCTGTAAATGTCAATTTTTTCAGTCTAGTAATAGGTTTTTAATATATGTCTGCCATCTCATAGGTTTGTGAGTAAGTGGAGTAAGTGTTTTAAAAAGTGGGTTTGTCGAGTCTTTGACGCTATCAAAAAATTTGATATGCCTGCGTGTAATAAATTTCAACATTTTCGTTACATATGGAATATATGTGCCTAACGCCATATCCAGAAAATCGGGAATAAACTGAACTTAATCGTAACATTTCAGATCAATATGTTATACTTGTGTATTTTGGGAAATAACTTTCTTCCAGCAATCTATCTTTTGTATGTTCTTACTTCTTAAGATATATTTGTTTGCTCCATGGTACGGATCCCTTTCTAAAAAAGTTGTTTGTTACGAGAAAATGAAACTATTCACGAAGTTTTAGATGAGTGTTTATACAATATTGGAGGTTCGGTACATGCTATATGACCGGGAGCCCTTTTCTTGGGAAATAAAAATCAATAATTCGAAGGAAGGATATCTTATTTATATTAATGACGTCACTACTTATGTTGCCAATTTCCTTTTATTATAAGTTCCAATTAATGTCCCGGAAGGGAAAGTCAGTTTTAGTGGGTTAATTAATTATAGTAATCTTAACATACAATTTTATGAGGGGCCAGTCTCACGCCTGTGGTCCGTCACCTCTTTCCCGATGCAGCCGCTCGCTGAAGCCGTCTCAGGTTTTTGCCGTAATTATCGTGTGACCGAAGGGCCGTAACGTGTAGTCGAAGGGGTCTACTAATCTCCCTCTCTCTCTCCGTTAGCCCTTGGCCGTGAATTCGGTAGAGGTGGGCTGAGAGCTGTGTGGGTGCGTGCTTTGTCGTCAAGCATCAGTACTTTGCTCGTAGATAAGGCCGTCTTAGAGAGGAGACAGGGCTGGATGAGACTGGGGGGTCCCTATGTTATTTATACAAGGCAAATAATAAATATGTGGTATATAATATGATATAATCAATACCAAATGATTATATATATATACAAAAACATGGATCTAAATCCAACAGTGTTAATATCTTGATAAAAATGGGTCTGTACCGCGGACTAGTATGTCTAGTCATAAACTAGACTTTATAGATTTCATTCTCTTCTAAACATTTATAAAGAAGTTTAAACTACTAAACATGTTTATCTACAAACATTCGGAATTAGTAATACCTCGTTTTCAACTTCGACTGCTTAAATATAGATTCTCCTTTTTTTACTTCACTGGTATGTCGTCGTTAGCGAATTACAATTTTGTTTATTGCCGCATGGATTTGTTTACATTCTTATCATCTTCGACATTCATATACCATTCAATATTAGCTATGAACCTGAAGCTCATTGATTGAATTGAATTTTATTTATTAAAAATGGTATTATAAATTTGACTGAGAAAATTATTAAAAATGAATAAACGGTTTTGTATTTTATGTGCTAATTTTACTGGGAAAAGGATCCTACTAAATTTTAGCAGAAATGTATGTTAGTCAATTAATTTTAATTAAGTGATCTGTTGAATTAAATAATTTTGCTGTAAATCTTTCTTACTATTTATAATTTGAGACATTGGATTGTCTATATTATATATAAGGTCCAAGAAGGATACTTCAGGAAATGGAGCCAATTCTTATTTTAATTATTTGTAGGAATCAAGATTGGTGAGGTCTTCAGCAGAGCTAGATGAATCAGTTTCAAATGAATTAGACAACAATCTTAAACCTAGGCGTCATCCGGGTGTTATGAATCATAAACCGGTATCTTTACCTGAAGTAATAAAAAAATCAATTTCAAATTTATTAGCTGGAGGTAATATACATGTTCATAATACTGATCCATCTTTAAATTTTTTTGATATTTTGATTTATTAGTTAAATTGGGAGATCTTTTGATCTTGGGAATAACTATAATTATGACTATGTAAATAAAACCTAATGTAGTGAAATACTTGATAATGGCTTCTCTGTGAAATTAGAAGTTGATTCAATATGAAGTAAAAAGTTGATTGTGGAAGTTTGAAACATAAGTGTAATTTTTATTTTATAATAATTTTACTTCCCATAGTTTAATGTTCTTATAATATCTAAAGGTATGTATACACTTGGAAACAAAATGTTGGTGACTCCTTGATGGGTCTTGGATGTTGCTCGGATACAGCTAATTGTATCTGAAAAAATATTTTCAACTTTTTTGGGCATCTAGACCTGTCTCATTTCTGAATTAAAAATTTAAAAAATAGTTGCTGTCGGTACTAATGTTCCTTCATTATAGCTGTACATGCCAAAGAATATAAAATGAGGAGGTGACAGAGAGACTTTAACAATGGAATAAGCCATGGCAACTAATCGATTTCGGAATTACTTTCAAATGATGATATCTTGTTGTGTTTGCAATTTTATCAGATTAAGAAAATCTGTTTTTGAACATATTATTTGTACTGGTAGTCCCTAAAATCTGCTATTCCACCAACAATATGATGGCTTCTAGTATTCATGAGATTTTAATATTCTTTTTTGTTTTCAAATTTGGGCCAACATATTACAGATGAACATTCTGTAACAAGATATGAAGAAAATATTTTATATTCAATACCCCAAGACCATTCACTTTAGTTATTTATAAAAATAGGTATTATTAAGAATCGTCGTTAACATTAGGATTGTCTGGTATTACATCATTAAATCTAGGTTTTTATTATTAATACAAATTAAGAATTAGATAAGAAAAATAACAATATATATTTTTTTTCTTATTTAGAAGTACCCAAAAAGCAAATGCTATGTGAAGCCCAACCACTGGAAAGATATCTGATGGCGAGACAAGTCCCTGTAGAAAAAGCAGAATTTTTCGATAAACGTCTTGAAACAATGAATGAAGTTAGAAATAGCTGTAAATATCATTAAATAAAAATATACACTGTATTCTTATTATTTGTATACTTTTTTACTTTGATTTCCTTTTTTTTAGTAGAAATTGATATTGAAAGTTTACCTCAAGAAGAGCAAGACAGATGGAATAAATCAATTAGTGACAAAGTTGATAACTTGTTAAAGAAGAAACTGTATTCGTGGAATCAAATTGACTTTACTAATTATATGAGCCAACTTTATCTAGTTACAAGAAGTGCTGCAGAATATGCTGTTGTTTACAAAATCTTTCAAGAAATATGTAAAAGAACAAATTTTGTTCCTAATACTGTTTTCGATTTTGGTTCCGGAATGGGATCTGTAATATGGTAATTTCAATATGGTTTGCTTCTTTTGTGATATTATGATGATACTACTTAATTAAATTATTTTATTAAATTCAATTAGTTTACAAACCAGTATGGACGTTAGTATAGTTGTTGGATCTAGATGTCTATGTGGATGATCAATACCAATTTTTGAATCATAAAATTTAAATGATAGCCATTCTTAATGAATGTTTTCAAGTTATTTACATTGGACTTAAATGATACATGCCACAATTTTCTGTCATGATTCAGAATCATTATTGGTCATAATAGGTTTATATAATAGTGATATATATGCAAGTAAGCATTTGAAGCTTTTTCCTTACTACCGATTGTTCAGTGATTTTTTTGTTATAAACAATAATTTAAATTTTTTCTAATTTTTTTTTTGTAATTATAATCTTAATCCAGTTCTCTATCTAGAAACCATTTAAATACCTATAAAGGCTGTGTATGGGGAGCCGGGGTAGCCATATGGGTTAAGGCGCTTGTAATAGGTATTTAAAGTTAAGCAACCTTAAGTGTGGTTAGTACTTGGATGGGTGACTGCCCGATTTGGATGACCGCCCACTAGGGAAAGCCATGCTGCCCAAGACTCTCTCCCCCCTCCTGGATATGTGAGGCTCATCAATCTACTGGAGGCAACTTAAATCGGGAATCAGGATGTGGTATACTAGGATGTCAATAGCATCGCTGAGGCGTGGTCCATGGATTGTCTTCCCTGAGGTCTGTCTCGGGGAAAGAAGTATTAGTCCTTGTGCGTCTGCTGGCTTTGAGCAGCCATAATCCATGGATCTAGATCGATTTGTTACTGTCCTTGAACCCGAGTGAGTCAGTGGGAAGGACATTGCCAGATTGGCCCCAAAGGGATCGGCTATGGAGCTATGGGTGGCCTGCCGCTGCACCAAGGAGACCATGGTTCGTAGCAACGTGAGGTGAGTGACCCCCTCTATGCTACCTGTGCTCCCGCAAGCTATATATGTCTGGAAGGAGACCACTTCTCGCTGCCAAAGATCTCCATGGTCTGTAGCGCCAACAGGCAAAAAAAAAAAATGCCTTAAAAATAAATGCTATGTATTGTTTTTGAAATGAAAACTTCTTTAGGCAGGTTTTGCAATTTTTTGTGGAGAGTGAATTATATTGAGCTATCAGATTTCCAATGTGTAACATCCGTATAAAGTTAGCTGGAGTCGACTAATTAAAGTGTTTTTGCGTATGGATTAAAATATCTCAAAAACTAAAAATCATACCTGCATATTGTTAATGAGGGAAATGTTCATCATTTCATGCTTTTTGTAATGAACTATTATTCAAAATTATATCTTAATGCGATGACCTGTTAGAGAGGCGAAAAGGGAAAAAATAGTGTCGACAACTAAGTGATAATGAGTTTTATTAAAGATATGGGATTAAAATATCTCAAAAACTAAAAATTGGACCTCTATACACTGTAAGCTAGGGAATTGTTCAACATTTCATGCTCTCTGTAATGGGCTATTATTCAAAATTGTATCTCAACGTGACCCCGTGTTAGGCGGCGAACAGGAACAAGTAGTGTCGAAAATCAAATGATAATATGTTTTGGAATCGCACCTAGATACTGTAAGCGAGGGGAATGTTCAACATTTCCTATGAGTTTATATTTCATATTATTAATCTCGCCTTGTTGATGTTTTCACTTCTATCTAAGGTCTAAAGCACATAGCTTTGTTTTTTAAAATATTTTTAAACCTAAAAAGGGCGTTTTGTTTAATATGGTTAAAACAGATTTGTTAAATCTATTTAAAAAGTATTAGTGATAATGTTTCTATTGTTTTTAGTATCAAAGAGAATGCATAGGTATTTTTATTTTCATACCAAAGAAAGGTTGTTTAATTTTCATTACATAATTTACAAACTTATTTATCATATACTGACAATTGTATGCTGTCAGTACTTGAAAGCATTCAGTATGACCCACATGTTTGGGTTGAAACCTTGGCAAAAAAAAAAAGACTGCTTCCTGAATAATTATCATCCATCTTATTTATCATAATTTAATGTATTCAAAATATTGAATATTGTACCCAGCTGTGTAAAGTAATTATTAATAAAGACAGTTTATAAATATTTATTCAGTAGTATTACCTTTTTTTTTACATTATTTTTGACAAACAGAATAAATTATTCATTGACAATGAATGTAAAGTGGCATACAAATTAATTGTCTTGGTCATTTATTTCCTTATGATATTTTAGAAGCAGGAACAATAATTAAATTATATATATTTATGTCCGATTACAAATATTTTGATGACCTGTATTTTTTCCAAAAAATGAACTGGAAGACTTGGAATAGTCTAGGAATTCCATAAAAAGTTTTAGGTAGATGCTATTTTCTTTGCATAAAATATATTGTTAGAATTTTTAAATTGTTATTATTATTGATATTTAATATATGAGCCTTTCAGTTGACTGAATTTCTCCAATTTCAACACTTTTGAATAAAAATCATTTTAGTCATATTTCTAATTAGAATATTTATAATATCTGTACACAGAGTGAGTAAGTTGATTCCAGAGTAGGTAATCGCAATGTTGAAATATAGAACTGTGAATGAACGTTTCCACTGAAAATATCTCTAAAATTATTAATAAAAAATGTTGAAATTGGGATTAGTCATTCTGTCAACTGAAAGGCTCATATTATAAATAATATATAACTTTCTTTAGGGCAGCTAATTCTATTTGGGGAAGTTCAGTGAAAGAATATTTCTGCGTTGATTCATCCAGTCATATGAATAGTCTAAGCGAACAGATATTAAAAAGAACTGAGCCGGATATTATGAAAAGGATATTTTATAGACAGTTTTTGCCTTCTTCTAGTGAGGTATTTATTTTATGAGTATCTACTTTATTTTTGCCTATTACATCAATTTATACAAGTCCTTTTTAAATTTAAATTCATTTTAGATCACTTCTGATCTTGTCATCAGTTCTTATTCACTTTTGGAATTGTCATCAAAACAAAATCGATTAGATACATTGATAAATCTTTGGAAAAGGACCGGAAAGTATTTAGTACTAATTGAATTTGGCAGCGAAGGTGGTTTCAAGGTAAATGTAAATATTATTCTTTTTAAAAATATTAATAAATTTCAGTTTAATATGATTCTTATACACAGGTATTGAATGAAGCCCGAACAGCTATATTACACCATGTTAATAAAGGCAAGACTTTTGAAAATGAAGCATCATATATTTTTGCTCCTGTAAGTATAGTCTTTCATAATATTTACCAAATAGCATGAAAACTTAATTGGTCCAATATTTCCTGTGATAATCAAATTTCTATCTTCAGCTCTAAGTTTTTATTTATCATTTATAACTGACAAGTGGATTTTTAGCCATAGTTTTTGAAAAAATTAAGATTTAATCATTAATGGAGGAAAGCAACAATTAGACTGATAGAAAGTAAATGCTGATTAAGTCATCAGTGTAAATAACCTATTGAAAGTAGTGATGGGGTGTGACAGAGATTTTCTGTCACAGCTCCGACAGTGACAGCTCAGGGAAAATCACTGTTACAAATCATAGTGATTTGTCACTACAGTGATGTTTTTCCGGTGTCAAATATACAATGGCTACTTGGCGAAAGCGTCACTATGAAATTATAGTTTACATATTTAAACTTATATTAAATTTTTTTTTTTCCTGTGATAAATTTTATATTTGATGGGGGAAAATATCTCTTGGATCCCTTGGTTTCTGTGTACAGTCTTACAGAGAATATTTGAATTTATTTAATTTTTAATTAATTTTTGTATTTATATTTCAACAGTTAAATGAAAAACTTCCTGATAATTATTTCAGACATAACTCATTCAGAAATACATGGCAATGAATGCTCAATTCATCTGAAGTTCAAAAAGTATTTTTAATAAAATTTGACGAATAACTATTATTTTAGAAATAATTATTTCATGATTATTCCTTTAATTCATTTATTAAATTAATGAAGTCAACAATGCCCAGACTAGTCAACAATGATAGAACGAAAAAGAAGTGATAGAGCGGAGTGATCAGAGCAGTGATTTCACAGCGCCAACAGTGACCATCACTGTTGGAGCACAGTGATCATCACTGTTGGCCTACAGTGACCGTCACTGTTGGAGCACTGTGATCGTCACTGTTGGCGTACAGTGATTTCACAGTGGCACCAGTGACCGCCACTGTTGGAGCACAGTGATCGTCACAGTTGGTCTACAGTGACTGTCATTGTGATTTCGGAGCGCTTGTCACTGTGATCACCAGCGTGTCACAGTGACAGAATCACAGCTCCGGCCATATGGCCCCATCACTAATTGAAAGTTAAATGTAAATAATTTATTTTGGCGGGAATTGCGAATAGCCTTCCGGTTTTATATTAGGGAACTAGATTATTTACACTCGTGAATATTAAAACAAAACCCCGGCACTAGATATAGACTTTTTAAGGGTGTTAAACTGTTGGGAATTCGGGAATCTAATACCTTTTATGACGCTGGGTGACAAGAAACAATAAGAAGATATATCTGTAATGTGGGAAAGAGTAAATACACTTTGAATGAATTGACTCACCTGGTTTGTTATTCTTCAATCTTAAGGCATATAGGACAACTAAATAAATAAATGATTTTTCACTCCTGTCTAACAAAACAATTTATTTTACAACTGTATGTAAAATAAATCCATGCCTCCATGTCCCCACCTCAAGTGCCATCTCCTCTCTTCTCTGGTGTCCTCCTCCCTGTTGCTACCTGCTCTTTCCTTTTTCCAGCTTCCTTCTTCATCGATTGTTTATCGATATGAGACTTTTCAATGAATAATTTTCCACTGCATAATTGAGTACAATTCATCTTGCAACCTCACATTCCTATAATATATTCCTTCTCATTCCCTCACATGATGTCACCTAAAGGAGTAAATACAGGGGGATGTCTACTACATCAGTAACAGATTAACAATCATCAGTAGCCTTGGGAGAGAAAGAGGCTGTTCTCTGACTGGTATATATGAAAGGTATGAGAAATGATCGCAATAATTGAATGAGATAGACTGCACACATTACTGACGCTTCCATAGAGAATGGATGTTCCCAAGGATTAGTACTTGGGTGAAGCTCTATGGAAGCTATTTTTTTGTTGAGTTGTTGGGAGTATCAGAGAAACAATGGTTCCCTGCCACTGGCTACATTAATGATTTGGCTGTAGCGTTGTACCCTGACAGCAGATCTGGCTTAGCACAACAAACAGAATGATGCATCAACTTGGTTGGAGAATGGTGTGAGAGGAAGAAGTTGCCAATGGCCGCTTCTGCGATTCAGACTCTTAAAAAACTGATAGGGTCACCTTATTAATATTACAATTCAAGGAGGTAGTCACTTATCTTGTTATAAGATTTGGAAAAGAATTTAACGGTACCTCTCACTTGGACTACCTTGAAAACATGATGTGGCTCCTCTCAGACTAATGGTTCTCACAATTTTTCAGAGATCCTGGAGGCTTTCGAGTAAAGCTTCATAGTTCTGGAATGGATATCAACCCCCTAGCTGCTGTGTTTCAGAGACTGCTGAGCACCTATAGTTGACTGAAGCTCCTTTGAAAAACTAAGGGCTAAATTACTGAGGAAAATTAGTCTCTACATTCTCACAGAGATTGATTTCCCTCATTTAATTACTGTGTGTCCAGCACACCTCAATCTCACAAGAAGAGGAGGAGCTAATGGAAACCACTGCATTGAGAAAGACTCACTCAAGAAAGATGATTCAAAAACATCAACAGGTCAAGAAAAGATGAATAAACTTTATTTGCAGTTGTGAGATATTATGCAGACATGTATAACACCTACTACTGCAAACACCCATATTGTCCAAAAGGCAGGGTAGGGTTTCTACAAATTAAAAAATATACACACTGTACAATAGTTTTCAGTTCAACTTCTGTTGTCTACAGAAGACAGTTATTCACCTAAAACTGCAAGTGGAAATACAGTTTTTTTGTATTATTATAGATTTTGGCCATTTTTACTTTCACTTACCTATATATGTAATATATAGTAAGGGAAAGTTTACGCGATCGTGAAAATTTTCGAATCTGAGAATTCAATGGAAGTACATGTTTTGAGGTTCCCTGAGTCTAAATAATCAAGTCCCGCAAAGTGGTCTGTGTGTGTGGGTATGTGTATGTACATATTTAAGATAGGTATATACTTTGGATGTGGCAGCAACTTTTTCGTTAAAATTGACTAACCAGAAGATGCACTTTATATCGACGGTTATACAAATTTTTACAATTTTCTCAAAAATGGCTATAACGAATTTGATTAAACTCGGTGTATCATTGTATAATTAAGTGGTTTTTAATATCATTGAGGTCTTATCCCCATTGATATTAAAGCTTTATAGGGCTTAAATGCTTAAATGTTCAACATTTCTTCTTCTAAAGTACCTTTAATTTGGTTTATTTTAATTAATTGACTATCTCTCATTATAGTTACAAAAAAATGCTAACTATAACTTTTGAAAGAATTTGATAGTTGAAAAATGGAGAAAATAGGGAAAATGTTTATTTAGGTTGAAAATGAATTTCTGGATATACTAGTCAGAAGGTATACGTATAATATATTGTTGCAAAGCGGAGAATTTTAGAAAAACCAATATTTAATATAGAAAGTCATGGAAAGTAATGGAGAGTGATGAAAAATTATAAATAATAATTTGTGAAAACTAATATTATTTAATGGAAATCACATGTTTTCATAGAAATTAATTAAGTAATTATAAACTTTTTATGTTTGAAAAAAAAGCATTTAAAATCTACCTAATCAAGGCAATGGCATTGTTTAAAAAACTGTTTCATGGCACTTATGTGAAAGAAGAAGTAAAATATAAAAATATTTCATGGATGTATAAAGTATATGTTTATAACCATACATTTACTGTTGTTTAATAACTCTAGACTGATATTTTATTTAAATAATTAGGTATCAACGTACGTTTATTTCAAAAAATCGTCATGTAATCTTTTAAAAAACTAAATTAGTGAATAATTGGTTTAATAAAATTTGTTTATAAATAAATTAGTGAATAATTTGGTGAATTTTCCCTTTGTGAAATAAAAACATTATCTGCTTAATTAGTGTAAACACTTTCTGTCTATGACAGGCAATGAAAATCTTGTAATTTGATTAATTATAGTAAACTCTGCAATGGAAAGTAATAATATTTAATAATTAATAATATTATTACTATAATATAATTAATAATAATATTTAATAATTAATAAAAGTAATAATTAATAATAACTATTAAGCATACAATCCACAACCATATATATAGGTTGAATATAGAGATATACTTTCAAATCTCTCTAGGCATATATATATTGCTCAGAGACTAGAGTTGTGTGGTTTACTAAAACAGATGGAGTACCGAGGTTGTTATTGTCTACTATTGATACAATTAATAGGGTCTTTGTTGTTTTAATGGTTTGTTAGCTGTAAGCTTTAAGCTATAGCTATAGTTAAAAGTGCACTTAAACATTTTTATAATTGTTCAACATTGCCAGAATATAATTTCTATTCAAAGTAGACAGATAAGTGAAAGTTGTGTGTTTCGCGCACTAGATTTTTATAATTATCCTTTCAATGAATTTAAGTTTGTTGAAGAGCTAAGTAAACACTTGAAAGGATTTGATAAGTAAAAATTTGAAGGGGCGTCTTGTCAGGGGCACTGGCCTATCTTCAGGGGCGCTCGCCGCTTGTCAGAAATAAAAAAATTACAAAACATATTAAAATAATTGATTTTAACCTATCAATAAAGTAACTGTATTAGATAAATGTTGAATGAAATATAATTCAAATATTACATAATATTCTTTTTTTTTTTAATTAATTCATGTTAATTTTATTACTTATTCTAGTGCCCTCATCATAATTCTTGTCCAAGATCTGATGATAAATGCTTCTTCGAAGCATCGTATACTTCCTTCCCTCAAAAACCAGAACACCTAAGAAAAGAGTATTATTCATATGTTGTTTTTGCGAAAGGTAAGCAGAAAGCATTTAAACGTTCTTTCACTTCTAACTTTAAAAAACATAAATTTTATTTATTTATTCAGTTGCCTCTACTCTTAATAGTCACTGGTAAAATTATATTCTTTTGTAAAAATTAATTTTTTTTTTTAAATCCATCAGTTTTGATACACCATCATAAGTGTCACTTTAAGCTTCATTTTCATTTGTATGTTTCCTCGATTGGTTTTGAAATTTTGGGGATTATACCAGAATTTATTTTACAATTTTGATTTCCTGGCAATATTCACTGATCAGAGTTTCAAGTTCTCTCAGAAGGTACCCATGCGATGATTCACAATGTATTTTATGTTGAACCTGTATTGTGTCGGTCAAGACATGTTATTTGCCGTTTATGTTCCAGTTCAGGAAATATGAAAGAAGTTATCATTACTCCTTCAAAACACATTGAATTATCTCTCCTTTTCTTGAATTGTGACAACTCATTTTTCATTTAACAATTGTTTGTTTTCTTTGTAAAAGTTTTGATTTGCTTAATTTACACTTTTTTTCCATTTTAATTTCATTTTATTTTAAATAAATCTTGTTCTGTTATTGTTGAAAAGTATTTTTAGAGGAGGCCCTTCGTTTTTGGAATCAAAGTGTGTTGCATAATCACTTTCATTATGGTGCAATGGGAAAGAATCCATATGAAAACAATATATTTAATTATTTTGATAAAATTTCTAAAATGAGGGAAAAACGTCAAGCTCCATGAAACTTTCCTAGTTGATTTAAGAATCGTTTCATTCTTGTCAAAACTGCTATTTTTCCTTTTTGAATAAAAAATATCTGTTGTGTCCACTCACACGACTTTCCTACCTATTTCAGAAAAGTTTTTATTTCTTTGCATATGTTCATGAAGAAACAAAAAAGAATTGAACTAGATTTATTTTCCTGAAAATTGATCAAACAAAAGATTTGAGTAAGATTTATTTGATAAACTAAAACAATGTAAACCGACTTAAGGTAGATCAGTATAAAAATTTCAATACTCATTAATATTGCTGATCAATAATTTTTTGCCATAGCTTAGTATTAGTATTAGTCAAACAATAATTTCTGTTAAAAGTAGAGGAAATAGTGAAGATTGTGTGATGCGGGCAACAGATTTTCTTACTTTCACTTAGTCATCTTTATTCTCTCATTCACCCCTTTCTAACACCAGGATATGAACCCGTAATCCTATATTGGAAATTTAATAGCTGTAATTAATAGTTGGTTAATAGTTAATAGCCGTCGTTAATAGTTGTCCAAAATGAACGATTTTTATATGGCTTTGTAGGGAATGTTATTACCTTTCAAACAACAGTCTAAATGGCCGGGCTCTGAAACGTATAGATCCATCGAAAACCGCGTATCGGAAATTTGTGTTTCTTTTCTTTATAACTTTTTTTCCTGAATTTTTTTGGGACTTTAGTCTATGTATGAAAATTGAAAGGACAATGATTAGAACATTATAGGAAAGTTTCATCAAAATCGTTAGAGCCGTTTTCATGCTACAGTCTATAGAAAAACATGTTTTTCATTGATTGTGCGTAAGCTATTGTGCATGGAGCACCGAATTTCTGTCACAAGCATCAGTCAAAACCCTACAAAATAAAAAAAGAAGCAACAAAATCGGTTGAATAGTTCCCGAGAAAATCTTGGCACAGATAGACAGACAGACCAATGGCTAAAATTGTGTTTTCTGACTCAGTGGGCTCTGAAACGTATAGATCCATCAAAAACTGTATATCGGAAATTTGACCCGATTGCAATACTTTCCTTGCCTAGTATAGGTTTGCTACATTGCACGGACTGGTTGTTGGAACAACTCTTTTTCCTCGAAAGAATATCCACAAAGCAACATGGATCTCTCCAAATGGGCAAACAGCATCACAGATAGACCATGTACTCATTAGTGCCCGCCACAAGTCCAACATGATAAATGCAAGATCTTATAGAGGTGCAAATATGGACACGGATCACTATTTGAGCATTGCCGAGGTCAGATCACGAATTTCGCTGATTAAAAACCACTACCAACGACTAAAGAAGAAGATTGATGTGGTTAAACTTAAGGACTCAGACCACCAATATTCGTATCAACAAGCTGTGGAGACGAAACTTAATGAAGAAGTAATTAATGACAGCTCTATGGTCGATGAACAGTGGAAGAGATGCAGCAACGCAATGAAACAGGCAGCAGAAGAAGCTCTTGGCTACGAGACTAAATCTAGAAGGCCCCCATGGTTTGATGCTAAGTGCCTTCAAGCAGTAAAAGTGAAAAATGAAGCCTACAGAAAGAAGGTTCAGCGTCCCACAAGGCTCTCCCAAGAAACATATAGAAGAAAAAGACGCGAAGAGAAGAGATTATTCCGCGGAAAGAGAAGAGCATGGGAAAATAAGAACATGGAGGACACAGAGGCATTGCGAGGCCAAAATGAAAGTCGCCTGTTCTTTCAGAGAATAAACGAGGGTAGGGCAGCTTTTAGGCCCAGAGTGACGGCATGCAAAGACACAAATGGAACTCTTTTAAGCCACAAAGATGACGTACTAAGGAGATGGGTACAACATTTCAAAGGCGCATTAAACAGAGGAACGGTGCCTGGAGAAGTAGGTGTAATGAAGGAAGACTCCCTGAATTCTATTGAACCCCCGGATGAGGAGGAAATGGAAAACGCCCTGAGGAAATTGAAAAATGGAAAGGCGCCAGGCCCGGACGGAATCCAGTCAGAGCTGTTGAAATGTGGAGGTGAAGAACTCAAGAAAGCTCTGCATGATTTAATGCTGACCATCTGGGAGAAGGAAGCTATGCCTACGGAATGGGCAACAGCCATTATCTGCCCAATACATAAGAAAGGAGATCAAACAGAATGCGCTAACTATCGAGGAATCTCACTCCTTTCGTGTGCTTATAAGCTGCTCTCTAACATTCTTTTTGAGAGGATCCTCCCGTATTCTGAAAAGGAACTGGGGAAATATCAGGCTGGATTTCGAAGAGGACGCTCAACGACTGATCAACTGTTCTCTCTGAGGATGATCCTAGAAAAGACTATGGAGCGTAAGGTAGTCACCCACCATTTATTCCTGGACTTTAAAGCAGCATACGACAGCGTTGATAGAACGCAACTATACTGTGCCTTGGAGGAGCTAAGCATCCCTCAGAAGCTCGTACGCCTAATCAAGATGACCATGGACAGCTCGAGATGCAGAATACGCGTCGGTTCTGACGACTCCGAAGAGTTTAAAGTGAGCAGTGGGGTTAGGCAAGGGGATGCCCTCGCCTGTCTATTGTTCAATTTGGCAGAGGAGAAAGCTGTAAGAGACTCCGGTATTCAGACCAAAGATATAATCTTCAATCGCCTGACACAGCTTCTTGGTTTTGCTGATGATATTGACATAGTAGGTAGGTCTGAACGGGCTCTCAGAGAAGCGTTTATAAGCCTTGAAGCAGCTGCAAGACCACTTGGTCTAGAAGTCAACGAGAGGAAAACTAAGTATATGAGAGTTGGCGGTGAGGTGGATCTGAACTCTCCATTTGAGGTAGATTCTTTTAAGTTTGAGAGAGTGAAAAGTTTTATATACCTTGGGTCTGAAATTAATAGCAAGAATGACATGGCTCAAGAAATACAAAGAAGGATCACGGCTGCCAATAGATGTGTCTTTGGACTTGGCCGACACTTAAGAAGTAGGTACCTCTCAAAGAAGACCAAGCTGATCATATACAAGACCCTTGTTCGGCCTGTTTTGACATATGGCTCAGAGGCTTGGACGATGACTAAGGGGGATGAGATGAAGCTGAGTGTCTTTGAGCGAGGAGTCCTCAGAAGGATTTATGGTCCAGTAAAGGAGGGTGATGTCTGGAGGAAAAGAAAAAATAGGGAGCTCAGTTCTCTCTATGCAGACATCGACGTAGTCACGTATATTAAACTGGCCAGACTAAGGTGGGCAGGGCATGTGGCCAGAATGAGCACCCTTGAAATACCAAAAAAAATAATGATGGAGGAGCTGCACCTCGTAAGACGGGTAGGAAGGCCGAGGACGAGATGGTTGGACAACGTGGCCTATGATGCGAGAACCCTGCTTGGTGTGCGGAACTGGAGAGCTGCAGCAGAAGACAGAGCCAACTGGCGGAGGCTCTTGGAGGAGGCCCAGTCTCGGTAACGGGATGTTGTGCCATACATGAATGATGAATGAGTATAGGTAGGAAAGTAAAAAAGGCCCAAAATGAAAATGAATTGAATATTATTATATGATTCTTTTTGTTTATTTGTTTTATGAATGAAACTTTTTTATGTCATAAGAACTGTTGTTTCTTGTTACAAGCAGTAAAGGAGGTGTGTTGCAGCACTCTCTGGAACAGCCACATACGGCTCACGAACCAGAGTTTGCCGAACATGCATTAAGCCTAAAGAATCACTGAAAATCTATATATTGAGTTGTTTCAATTGTTTACTAATCTTAAGTAATTGTATCATTCCTTCATTTAACTAACAGGTGAAAGACATGAAAAAGTTGATAGCCATTGGCCAAGGATCGTGCAACCTGTATTGTGTCGGTCAAGACATGTTATTTGCCGTTTATGTTCCAGTTCAGGAAATATGAAAGAAGTTATCATTACTCCTTCAAAACATGGAAAGTAGGTAGAAGTTAAATACATTTCAATGAAAGCATCTTTATTTTCTTTATATGAAAGTATTCTTGCATGCTTCTTTAATGAATTAATAACAAATTGATTATATGATTTCAGGAAGGCTTATAGATGTGCCAAGGCTTCTCGCTGGGGCGATTTGTTTCCATTTAAGCTGAAACCATATGAAAAAAGTCCAACTGAGAAGAAAGACTAAATTTAAACATGTTTTTTTATTATTAGTCATTTTATCAAGCCTAGGAAGTTATTTCTAGTGAATATTCCTTTAATTTTAATTAAATGTTATTAGGTTTCCTTTTTTTTTTCAAAGAAAGAAATCTTTACGCATCTCATCATTTGATTTATACTTTATACTATTGATAGTTGCTTGTAGAAATTTTCTCGTAGGGCACAGATATCAATAAAGTTTATTTATTTACTTTATTTCATTACCAATGCATTTTAAAATTGATTATATTATATATTTAAAATGTATGTATATTCAGTTCTTAGAATCTATTCAATTAATTCCCTAAGGACCAAAAAGAATATAACAATGAAGATATAACAATGAACATACAGAAAGGACGGCTAAGGCTGCAGCCGTAAGGCCCGGGCCACGAAGAGTAGCTTGGGGCCCAGTCAACCAAGTTTTATTTTTTACCTTCGGTTTTTTTTTTAAACAAAACTGACAATAATAATTTCTATAATTTCTGACAATAAGAATTTCTTAATGTCTTTACATAATGCCAAGATAGGACTATAACTGAAATGTAATATTGCCGATTCTATTCAACTTAGCACTGGAAAAAGTGAGCATGAGAGAGGAGAACATCATATAAAAATGGGGGAGGGGGCAGAGTGACTGAGCGGGCTAATGCGTGTGCTAAGCACCCCATTCTGGTGCCTGAGGGGGCTTTTAACTCTGTTAATTAATTCCCTGCCCTCACCTCTGGGCTCTGTGAACAGAAATAGACCTTCTCCCTTTCAAAGGTATTGAAATCCCGAATAATTTTTAGAAATCTCAAATAAAGTGAGTGCAATGCTATGATAAAGCCAGCACTCTGGAGTATCGACAGATCTGAGAGGAAACTCCTCTGCATGATAACGGGAGTGATCTGGGATCAGAATATTAATGCATGAAGGAAGAAAACTAATAAAGAGCTGCTTACAGAAATTCTTCAATCAATATCAAATGATATGAAGGCAAGGAGGTTAAGTTGGGCGGGGCATGTAATTCGAAGCAATCTATCTGGAAGCCTCTACACAACAATTAATGCCTTAATGGAAGGAAAAAGACCACATAGAATACAAAATAGACAGATAGAATTAAAAAATATGCAATAGAGCTGCATGCAGATAACTAACAAAATTTCGACAAAATTTTTCATGAGCCCTAACTTTATATGTAGTGGAGGCAAAATGATTTTTTCATGGCCCACAAGAGGGTTGTAGAGAACATTTTTTTTGCCTCGGGGTCAGGACTTCGAGGCCATTTTTTCCTGACGTAATGAGATGCTCTGTCCCGACTGTTCCACTCACATAAGAAACAACAGTACTTAGTATATTCCTGTTGCATGCTTAGAAGAATTGCCACTACTTTCAAGTCTCCACAGATTTGTGATTGGTAGTCCTGGTATTTGATGGATTTTAGAAGGGTTTCCATGTTTTGGTAACTTTCCTTCATATGGGCAGCCTGGCCAACAGGGATAGAGGGAAATAAATTGCCATTGTGCCACAGAACTGCCTTGAGGGATAGCTTTGATGAATCTGTGAATAGCCTCCATTCAGAAGGGTTTTGATTGAGATTTAATGCTGTCATCAGACCTGGGAAATCACAACAGTCAACAAGATTCTCATACTTTTTGAAAAAGGGGACCAAGTCTTTCTGACGATTTCTGTACATTGTAATCTTTACAGAAGGTTGTAAGTTCTATTGATTCAATCTTGAACCCAAAAGTTCTTTCTCTTTGGGCAGATCCATGTCCCGAATCAAGTCACCGAGTTCAGCTTGAGTAAGCATGTGGGGTTTTCGTTCTTCTCTTTTGAAAGAAAAATCAGAATCATCTGATGGGGTTTCTTCTCTAGGGATTTTCCTCTTTGTTATCCTCATCCTCATTTAAGTCATAGTGTTCAGGAGGCCTTCGAGCAGGCAATTCGTCCCAGTGTTGAATTGGGCTTATAGCAGAAGGAATGTCAGTGCACTTCATTTCAGTTATCTTTTTTCGAGAGACATTCCATGATGAAGACGAGGTGTCACACAAAAGTAGCAATTGTCAGTGTGATTGTTAGGCTCCCTCCACACCATGGGAACAGCAAAACGCATTGAACGACCTTTCTTGGTCAACCATTCTCTTAAGGTTATGCTCCATGTGATGCAGCAGATGTGCGGGGCCCATGGTTTATCTTGGTCACCAACCTTCACTCCTAAATATTTGTGGTATGCTGTCTTGATCATCTGGGTGATAGGGCGTTTTTGATTTGCAAAGATTACTTCCCCACAAATGTAAAAACAGTTTCAGGAGCATTCATGCACTTCCTGGGCATTGTAACTTCATCAAAATTACTAGTTTATCATGACAAAATCGTTAAAAGAATGTCTGAAGCAAGAAAAATCATGTCAAGAGTAACTTGAAATGTAAACACTGCGTACAACTGTCAGAAAAATGATTCTGTGATTGATAGGCAGCTCTTACCCGTGATTCACAGACATAAATCAATCCTACCAACCCAGGAGCAGGAAATTTCCCCATATCACGCAAAAAGTAACTATATCTTTGAAACTAGTGCTAACTGATGATTTTTATGTGGAAATTCGAATTTCTCACACCAAAAGACATGGAATGTGGCTGTTTTCAAGTGAGATACAATATAAAGCAATCTTATCTTTGCAAATATGCATCAGAAAATAAACATTGACTATTCATATAAGTACCCAGTTTTACTTGAAAAACGATGCAACTTTGTAACACAAAATAATTCAAGCCAGAAGTATTTTATATGGGGAACTAAGATCACGAATTTGTGGAAACCATCAGTAATCAGTTATGAATGAAGCTATTATTTCGGTTTGGCAACATATGTTACTTAACTTATTTTTGGAACATAAGTAATTTATTATTTTTTATATTTTAACAGGATGTTTTAGTGTTATTCTACAACTAATGATTTTTTTTAGTTTTTAATTGTTGTGCTAATGAGAAAGTCATAAGACCCGTTGTCACCTATGGTTCTGAGACTTGGGTAATCCCTAAGGCCTCAGAAAGGAAGCTACTCACATGGGAGAGAACTGTTCTCCGCAGGATCTATGGTTCGGTGTGTGAACTTGGGCAATGGAGAATTGACACAAATAAAAAGCTGCGCGAGATCTATGAACAGCCAGATTTGATCTCAATGGTAAGAAGTGACCAAATCAGATGGTTGGGACATGTGGCACGTATGTTCAGGGATTACATTCCCAAATGCTTACTGGTGGAAGACGTAGCAGAGGAAGGCCCCTTCTGAGATAGCAGGACATCCTGAAAATGATGAGAATCCAGTGATGGAGAATGCTCGCTCGAGATAGAGAAGGGTGGAGAAGAATAACAAGAGAGGCCCTGGCTCTTGTAGGACCATAGCGCCAAATATTAAATAAATTGAACTATTCAATGAAATGAGATCTAAGGTTTTTTTTTTTTCATAAAATCTTTTATTTTAAAATTAACATAGAAAATTGTTGATTTGGCACTTTCTATTCTCAAAATTAATACACTATTTTAAAAAGATGTGGTTGTACATTTTTAAAACTATTTTTTTCAAAAATCAATAACCTAGATTATATGGATGGTGGTAATAAAACAATTTTTTTTTCATTTAATATAAATTATTTTTCCTCTGTGCCATGGTTTGATTTTCCTTGGATTAGTGCAAGTGAAGTATTTCCTTATAATAGAGAGATAAGAGAATAAAGTTTTCAACACAATAAAAAATTACTTCCTTATTTTATTTTTTAATACTAATAACAAATAAAAATGTTGGTAACAATAATTTAATGAGATATGGTACATTTAAGACTTATAATCCATTCCTATGGATCCTATAGACATTCTAATCAAATTAATTATATATAATTATAATTTAATTTAAAATGGTATTTCTACAAATCACAAAATATAGGTAATATCCCAGTTATCTTCTACGCTTCAACTTTTTATCACTAAAATTCAAATGTACACTTAAAGATTAATGAATCTTTATTAACAAAAAAATATAAATATATAAAAAAATAATTGAAATTGATTTAGAGAAAATTTGGTTTTCTTGCTTCTAAGAGGATTCCTGAAACAAAAAATAAAAATAAGTTAATAAACAGTAAAATTAAATATACTTTTAAAATTTGCAATTATGAAACAATACATGTACGAAAATGAGATAATTGAAAATTGAACAGTGCAGGTAACACATCACAAAAAAAAAAATAAAAAAATACCATAATGAAATTATCCAATTCTTAGTAAACAATTTGTTTTTGAAGACAAAAATAAAAATTCATTAAAATAATCGGCTATTCAACACACTTCTTTAATATTCGTATAAATAACAAAACTAATTCCTTTTATTAAATGATATTCTTAAAAATGGACAAATCCTAATAGTATTAGATATGTACCTTTGGGATTTCTTTTAATTCCCAACCTCCTTGTCCATCGAACTGCAGGATTTGGTCATGAAATTTCCTGAAAAATAAGAGAAATGTGTAAGTACTTAATATCAATAAAAAAAAATTGTGGAAACAACAGAATTTGATAATATTTAGTTAACTTTCTGTTGTATGTTTTTTAAGAGCACTTAATGTACTTATATATGAATGAACGAATGAAAATAATTTTATTGTTCTGAGACTAGTGTCCCATTAGAATAAATTATAAATACAGAATATATATTAAAATTCTGGTGTATACATAAAATACAACTAAATATTTGCATGATGATTGGTAATAAAATAAAAGTGAAGTATAGATAATGAAAAGATATAAAAATGTACAAACATATAAAATAAACAGAGAAACTAAAATAAATAAACAAAGTATCAATAAATCACAAAATAATCAAAGTGTCTGGGGGGTACTTTGAGATTCTTATGACTTAGATTTTTAAGTGCATTTCATGATCAACCGGATTGGGAATGGAGTAAGTGCTCTAGGAGGAGAGATTTGAAAGAGGATACTGATTTTACGTGTCAGAGGGGATAGAATTCAAGAGGGAGACAGCTTGAATTAAATAGGATTTGTCAAATGCAGCAGTTCGGTGAGGAGGAGGATAGAGGTCGGATGTACAGGATCTGGTGGGACGGGATTGAAAGAGGCTTTTGAATAGTAGGATCTGTAGAATATAGGAGGTAGCCGAGTTCTAATAGCCTGGTATAGGAAGGTAGTAATGAAATACTGACAACGGTAGGACGGATAAAGTCACTTCAACTCGGTGTAAAACTGTGTAATATGCGTATCCCATGAGATCCCAAAGATAAAGTGTATTGAGCAATTCATTAGACGTCTAAGTTTAGCCATGAGTTCTCTCGAGAGTTTACCATACACCATACAGCCATAGTCGAAGTGGAAAACAAGAGATGAAACCAGGAGTTGACAGGTTTTGAATGGAAGAAGATAACACAGATAGTTAAACTGTTTAAGGATAGAAATAGTATGGCAGGAAATTTGGGAGATGTGTGGTTTCCAGGAGAGGGTTTGATCGAGGGTAACATCAAGTTTTTTAACGGTAGTATGGAAGGAGATAGGTGAGTTGTTCAGGAGAAGATTGAAATGGATTTGAGGAATGAGGGCGAATCAATCAGGATGGCTTTTGTCTTCTCCGTATTTAATGTGAGCTTATAAGGTTTGCCAGGGCGCATATTCTATTGATGTCTTATTGCAGTTTCAGGATGGCATTAGAGGAATCAGCCGGGTTGAAGGAAAGGTAAATTTGGATGTCATCGGCATATAGGTGGTATTGACAGTGCATGACAGAGGAAGGGAGGTCATTGATATAGATGGAAAAGTGGGTGGGGAGAGGAACCTTGTGGGACGCCTCTGGACAAGGTTAGACACACTGATGGAGAGTTATTAGGGATTACAATGTACTGGCAGCAACTGGTGAGAAAGGATTGGAACCACTTAAGGACACTAGATGACAAGGAAATATTTTAAATTTGGTTAGGAGGATATTATATTATAAATGAGTCAAATGCTTTAGAGATATCAGGATGGTGAGTTTCTGTTGTTCTATGACTGTGTGGAGATCTTGGAAGATTTTAATGAGGGCGGAATGAGTAGAATAATCAGGTCTAAAACTTATATGGTGTCTTCAGGGATAGATGTTCCCTTAAAATTTTACTATTTATTCATGTTATAACAACGTTTCGAGCTACATACTTACTTTCAAGTTATAAAAAACCTACAAAAATTCTATGAATTCCAACATATCTCCATAATATAATTCTATTATAATTTTTTTTAGTCCACAAATATAAATACCCCCCATTTACCTCGCATGTGGTCTAATAGATGTCACTCCCTTCTCCTTCTATTGTTTAACATGGACTGTTGGAAGACGAAATGTGAGAAACATGGTTGTTTTTACTAATTTTTTTTGGGTGAGTCTATTTTCTTAATATTCTAAATCCCAGTATTTGTTACAATGGTCATTAGATTAGGAGCCAAGAGAATATATATATATAAATCAACAATTTAAAAAAAATAATTTCTTGCTAATTTTTTATAACTGTTTTAAAAAGTAAAGTAAAACATAAGTATATTATCCAAAACATAACATGGATAAGAAAGACATTTATATTAATATTGAAGTTGATTTAACTTTTGGTAATTTTTTACAATACAATTGAAAAAAAAATTAAATGAAATAGGTTTAAAAAAATGATATAATAAAAGTAACTAAGTATCTCAAAAAAAACTTACAGAAATTAAAAAAACAATAACTAAAAGTAGAATTTTTTCTCTTTTTACAGAGATAGTTTTCCTAGATCAAGATAAAAGCTTACCGTTGCACATTTTGACCAAATTTAAATATTTTGGTACTATTGGAAAGAATTGTGTTTTTCTCTCTTTTATCAATAAAGATTACATTTTCTAAATTTTGAGAAAATAAAAATATTTAAACAACTAAATATATTGTTTTACATCTGACTCTGCAAATAAAGATGTAAAAAAATATAATAGAGACTGTCAATGGTAATGAAATCCTGATCTTATTAAAAAAATCTTTGAAACTGGTAACTTTTTTCCTCAGCTCCTAAGGCCTTTTATTTCAATGAAAATGAGATATGTATCCGTTCTCTTTCGATGTAGAATCATCATAATAAATCTTGTTGAAATCGGTGAAACACTGACCTTCCCTTCAAAATGATATACTAAATATATCCAGTGTCAGGATATATTAAATATTAGAATATATTTTCTCCATTAAATGTATAGGAATAACTAATGTTAATATTTTTAAATTTTCAGACTTCAACTACTTCTTTGTCTTCCTCTTTGTGCCATTACTAGCGTCGAGGAGTCTCAATCCAATGTAGGATTCCTGTAGGATATCCTATTCGCTACTTCTGGGTCAATCTTCCCCTTATTGCTGATAATTGTACCCAAATAGGTGAATTCTTGCACAACTTCAAGAAACTGCCCGTTACAGATCAGCTATGACTAATACTTTGCTTTTGGAGCTATTGATAATCATACCTTTGCAGAGGAGTTCTTCCTGCCATTCTACAAAGGCCTGCTGCAACTTGTCTTTCGTGTCCGCAATCAGAACGATGTCATCGGCATATAGTAGGCTCTGGACCATAATATTCCGCAGGTTCCATTTTCCGACGACTGTCCAAGCAGTACGACGCTTACAAATTTTATGGATTTCATCCATAAATATGATGAACAAGAGGGGACACTTAGGCTGTCTCCCTGCCTGACTCCCCTCTCCATGGGAAAAGGCTTGGACTCTCTACCATCAATCCTTACCATTCCTTTTGCTGCCTTATATGCTGATCTAATTGCCGTGATAAGATCACCTGGAACATTTTTTGCCGCCAAAGCATCCCGTATTTCTTGTCTTGGAACAGAATCAAATACTGCTTTGAGATCCAGAAATGCCATATATATATTCTTGTCTCTGCCCCATGCTTTCTCTGCAATGCCTCTTAGCACGAAAATGTGATCTTGAGTCTGCCTCCCCGGACGAAAGCCTGCTTGTTCGTTCTCAATTTGGTTCTCAACTACGAGCCTTAATTTTCTTTCTAAGATTGAGGAGTATAATTTGTAAGCCACTGAAAGTAAGCTTATTGGCCTATAGTTTTCACAATCTGTGGAGCTGCCCTTTTTATGAATAGGGACAATTACACTTAACTCCCAATCCCTTGGGACTATCTTTGTATCCCATACTTTTTGGAGGAATTGTTGGAGAAATTTAATTAATTCCTGTTCTCCAAATTTTATTAATTCGGGGGCTATGCCATCCCATCTCATCAACTACAAATGATTTAAAAGTTATTTCAGACATCAATCGATTTTAGAAGAATTTGAAACTAAACTATTAAACTAAAAAATATGCAGAGAAACATAAAATCATTATAATGGTAAAATAATTACCATAATGTAGGCCTGTGAGTAATAGTCAGCAACGTGATTCCTTCCTTCTTGGCATCCTCGTACATCTTACTCTCGATATCGATACTGACCGCACTTGTGCATTCATCAAGTAATGCAAAAGACGGTCTAAAATGAAAAAAAAAAATATATAAGAAACAAAACTTTGAATGGATACGGATACGTTCTTAATGCTTAAGAAGACTGTCAAGCAGAAAATATACTTTTCTATACAGCAATTAATAGCCTAAAAATAAATACCTGTGGTAAAATAGCCTTGCAATAGCTATCCTCTGTTTTTCTCCACCGGAAAGAATATCTTTCCAGTCTGCAACAGCCGACCACCCACCTTCCCTCACGACAATCGAAGATAAAGCGACAAGGGAAACAATTTTATCTAGATCTTCATCTGTTTTTCCCTTCTTCATCATATCTTCGATCGTATCCGGGTAAATCACCTGGTCTCGAAGACTTCCGATTGGCATGTAAGGCCTAAAAACATTTAAGTAGTACAATGTACAATGATTTTTACATATAATTACTATAAAAATTTCTTTATTGAAAAAACAAAGACAAAATGTGTGAATTATAAATTAAGAAAACTACAATTATTAAGTATGAAAACTTGCAATATGATATTACTTTATGGCCATTTACACAATGACAGTTGCAGCTCTGACAACTGTCACAGACACTTCCATCGTGTAGGCTGAACAAAATTATGAGATTTCCTTTCTTGGTGTGCTGCCATATTATAAGATTTGGCTTGATAGCTAACAGTACATGAAGACGACTAACAGTGGACTATGGCTTCTTATCTAACCTAACTTAAATGGTAAATGAGAGGGAAAATAACGTTCTCATATATTATTGTTCATATTGCTCAATAATAGTAGAACTTAAAACTGATTTGGTGGCGTTCATATATTGATATATAGATAGCTTTGGGGGCGGAGTGGCCGAGTGGACTAACATGTCTGCACAGCAACCTGATGGAAGATGATTTGATAAAATAATTGATCCCTAGCCACCATCCCCTTGCCTAGGAAAATCCCATATAGTCTAAAATTCGAAGAAGGGGAGATAAAAAAAAAGAAGATAGTTTTTTTATATATAAATTTTACATTTTCATTCTCTATAAAAATAGAAACTTTAATTGGCATGTTATAATACTACTGGGTATAACAGATCCTCATGGGTATTGGGGTTTCAGCGCGAAACTTTTTAAACATGGTAAAAACATCAATCCCTTATGCCCCACTTGTGGAGTACCAGAAACCGCTGAGCACATCCTTGTAGCCTGCACCAACTATGAAGCAATGAGGGCCAAATTGATGAGGGAGACGGCTCTACATGATAACAGAAAACAACTTCCCTCAACGAAACTACCCGCACTTTAAAAACTTTGTTTGCAGGTGGAAAAAAGCTGTGGGCTCAACCCACTTCACCTTGGGAAGGCATGAAGAAATAGTACCGGAGAAGCCACCGAACAGAACAAGAGAAGATGGAAGAAGAAGAAATTAGGAAGAGAAATTAATCAAAGCAGACACTATGTGCACAGCGATTTATTACAATGTAAAAAGATAAACTTGCAGCAGTGATTTCTTATGTAGGAATGTGTATCAAGTTATTGCTGCAAACTCCGGTATTGCCTTAAAGGCAGCGTAGGGAGGAAAATAATATAAAATAAAATGTTATAAAACCATTGTCCAAGAGTTACTTGGAATCTTTAAATTCAAATTAAATATCACAATAAAATTATTATTTGCTTAGCCCATTCAACAGTGTGAACCAGTTCTTTACCAGTCACTTGAAAAATTGTATTTATACAGTAAAATCAATCACACCTTTCTTCTCGATTTTGTGATTAAATTATCTTACAATTGAGGTGGAAAGAGAATGGATGTTCGTTTGTCTTTAATTGCCTAATTAAATAGACAAAGTTTGCCGATCTCTAGATTGAAAACACCCCATTTTTGAGAATTTTCATATATAAAACATTAGTAGGTTACGATGAAATTAAGCTATTCACGAAGTTTTATACGAATGATAATGATAATGAATAGAAAGATCAGTTTTTATTTTAATTTTTTAAACAAAATTGGAAATGGAAATGTCCCCATTTGATGGTGAACTTCTCATATTGAGTTAATGTTCAGTAAATATCTTTTAGTAGAGAACTGAAGAAATAAATTGGGTAAGGTGAACCCAGAAGTAAATTGGAATCAAATAAATGAAAGAATTGTTAAAAAGAGTTAATTTTTTTCTTATCTGAAAATTATAATATTTGAATTAATTATTAAAACCTTTCATGCATGATAATTTTTTTATACTACATATAAATTATGAGTATTCTCATTTAAACAACTTGAGTAACAGATGTAAATTATTAATTTTATTTATTTATTTAATTTTTTTTTTTATCATTGCAGCAATGTTTCGCTAATAAAATTAATTTAATGCTCCTTTTTCTTTATTCTTAAAGAACTTTGTCCCAGAAAAAAGTTTATTTTTCTATTCAGTTCTATTAACAATTACAAAAATCTAAAATAATAATTTATTTCCTATTTGACAAAACTTACTTTTGAGGTATATAAAACATAGCAGTTAGAGGTCGATGAAGAGTTCCGCCATAAATGGGCCAAAGTCCGCAGATGACCCTGAAGAGAGAAGATTTGCCACAACCATTCGGTCCTGTTATTAGTAAGTGGTGACCGGGTTTGATAACAAGAGACAAGCTTGGGACAACCATGTCTCCTAAATAAATAGATAAATATCATTTATCAATTATGGATATTAATATTTTTAATAAAACTTGTTATCTAATTTTTTTAAAAATATATTGTTTACCTGTGGGGGTAACTATAGGTACATCACAAAGTCTAATACTTCCATCAGTGCTGGTAAGTACATTACCTGTAAACAAATAGAGTTAATAAGAATTAGTAGTGGCGACTCGTATTGCTCATAATTTCAAATATTTTTAGTTTCCAATCAGTGTTTTTATATCTGAACAAACAATAAAATGTTTTTAGTTGTTTGTAAGGTGTGTATATGCAAAACCAGAATTTCAAATAGATAATACACATTTATTTCATAAAAAATATTTTTCATTTCTAGCTATACATTTTTCCCATCATCCTAGCAATTTATGAATGCCATGCCAAAAAAACTGTTGCTCTTTTGTTGCAAACCAGTCCTTAAGTCATTTTCATAAATTCGTCATAACAAGTGAAGCGCTGATGAGCATACGTACAAATAAACAGAAGTCGGATGTAGGCAAGTCTGGTGAGTAAGCCACATATTTATCAACTGAACGCCTTATTTGTTTCTTTTACTGGTTTTGCTGTGTTTGATAGAGCATTATCATGAAGCAAAATAACTTAGTTTTGTCTTTTTTGATATTTTGTCATTTTTCACACAATACTTGATTCAAATTTGTTGTCGATAGCATTCAGTATTAATGCTTTTGCCAGGTTTCAGCAGATCATGATAGATCGCACCAATGTTCCATGTTCTTCAGTTTTCATACCAAAATACTTCTGAACTCAAAGCGCTGTGATTTACCAATAGCATGCTCATTGTAAACTTCGAAAAGTATTTTACATGATTATATAGTGGTTTTATCTAAATGGTACCAGAAAACTAATGCTCTGCCTGCAAATTGTAGTTTGTAGTTCCAAAACTCGACATGTTAAACACTATTCAAACTATGCTGTTATAAGAAACTTATATCATTGTGAGTTAAAAATCTTTTCCAGCTGTCGAAGAAACAAAATGGCACCAATAATGTGCTTTAAGAGTTACTACATTAACAATTTAGCGTTCTAAGGATGAATTTTGGTTCCATATTTAAACACCTAGTACAACTAAAAGTACTAACTGAACTTTTCCTTAAGATATTTTTTAATAAAATACATAATTTAGAAATTCCAGCTTTTTTTACTTATTTATTAATCTACTTGCCTTCGATTCGACTCGGAGCAGATGATACCAGAGATCTAGAGTATTTTCCTTCAGACACTTCTTCAAACACTTCTAACATCATGCCGACCCTAGACGTGTATCCTGCCAATTCCACTATTTCCTTGTAAGAAGACATTAATCTTTCAGCTGCATCAGCTCCAGAAAGAAGTAGATTCCTGGCAGTGGTGAAGTACTGAGTCCTATCGCTTACGCCACTATCCTTTTCTGTGTTTAGAAAAAAAAAAAATTTTATAATAAATATTATAATCTTGAAAATATATTAACTTTTATTACTTTCACTTACATATAATATATGCAATATATTATATGTAAAGTATTACGATCGTGAACATTTTTGAATCTGAGTTTTCAATGAAAATACATGCATGTTTTGAGATTTCCTGAGTTCAAATAACCAAGTCCTGCAAAATAGTCTGTGTGTGTGTGTGTTTATGTGGACAGTCTAGTTCAAAAACAAAAAGTAGTACGCAATTTTATATTTAAGGTTTGTACATACCTGGGATGTTACAACTTTTTACATACGAGTACCAATCTATATTATCGATTTTACATATTTTGACAATTTTGGTTTTGATTTAATTCATTATATCAGTGTAAAATTAAGCTGTTTTCAATGTAATGTAGACCTTTTCCTCATTGATGTTATCTAACAGGGTTTAAATGCCCAATTTTCAAATTTCTTAATTTAAAGTACCCTTAATATTTTTTTTTTAAATAATTAACCATTCTCTATTTGAAACTGATATAAAAAATGATTAAATATAATGAATGAAGAAAATTGATTGGTAACTATAGAAGGGTTGGATGCTATACGGAAACAGCCAAGAGAGCCTGACTTTTGCCGATCCTGTTCCCTTACAGATATCCGATACCTCTCTGAACAGAGCTTTTGTATAGTTAGTTTAACTTTTTTATATCATTTATCTATAATTTTTTAAAAATATTTCCACACAAAATGTTGAGGATCTACTAATATAAATTTGATAATATATAATATTACCTAACGTTAAGTTATTTTTTAGACGAGATTCGTGATAAATGTTTCCAATAAAACTCAGAATTTTTTCAAAAGATCCATTTCCCACCACAATCTATGATTTAGTATCACGACTGATTTACAATGTTAATTAACTTCTATCAATCTCTATTCTATCCCTTATTTTTCCTTTAAATGGAAAACTTGAAAGTAAAAAACCATTCGCATAATAACAACAATCCAACTGAAGTGATCTAGTGTGGGGCAGAGAATGTGGAACAGTGCTTGAATTTTAAAAAAGATAAATAAATAAAGGTTTTTTCCTACAACTAATAATTTTAGTGGATCAGTCTAAGCTAAAGTGTGTTAGGATTAAGAGCTATTTTATAAAGAAAGAAGAAATTGTAGATGAAAATCAATTTAATTTTTTTTCCTACTATTCCTTTTCTATAATAAAATAAATTTTCGAAAGACGGAATTTTCCATTGTCTATGTGTTGTTGATTGTATGTGTATATATATATATATAATATAATATAATATATATATATATATATATATATATATATATATATTATATATATATATATATATATTATATATATATATATATATATATATATATATATTTTGCTTGTGTAATTGTTTAAAATGTTTAATAAACATTTTTTCATTCATAAAAATAAAATAAAATAAATTTTGCCACCCAAAAAAAGATTGTAATGAAATTATAATTTTTTAAAGACGACATTATAAGTAATTTATATATTTACAGGAAAACTTTTCAACAATCTGAGGAAGGGAAGAAAACCTAAAGATATTGTAGATATAGAAAGAATAAGAAAATAAAATCTTTAATATTTTAATTAAACAATTACAGTCAGTGGTACAGACCCCCTTTTATCAAATTATTAACATTCGCTAAAACTTTGTGAATAGCTTCATCTCATCGTAATTTGCAACTATTTTATTTAAGAAAATTCTCAGAATAGGGACATTTTCAATCTGATGATGGTAAACATTTTCTATTTAATTAGGTACTAAAAACTCAAGAATACCCATTTGCTCTTCACATGAATCGTAAGATAATATGATCACAAATTCGAAAAAAAAAGGTAGCCTACAAAAATATTGATCTGTTTGGCATGACCTCCACCTCCAAAATGTCAAAATAATGAGGTTATATAGGCCAAACGGCCCAATAGTTTTGTAGGCCACTGTTTTATTTTTATTTTATGACCAAATTAGCTTACAATTCCATTGGAAAGCAAATTGTGATTTATGAGTTTTTAGTACCTAATTAAATTAATTAACTTAACGAGAAAATGCCCCATTTCTGAGAATTTTTGTACATAAAAAACTTGTAGGTTACGATAAGATGAATCTATTCATGAAGTTTCAGGTGGATGCTAATAATTGGATAAAAAAAGGTCTATTACTATATCATAGAATAGTAAACAATAGAGAATTTAAATATTTGAAAATGGTTAGCCAAAATGTTACAAGAAGAAAGTGAAATTTCTAAGTAAAAGAATGTTTTACTAATGAAATAAAGACAATGGAATTAATGTTTTTTTTTTTATAAAAACATTAATTGTATATTGATTAAATATAATAATTGTTTCTTTATTTATTATAAGCATAATTATGTTCTGATTAATTTAGTCATGAGTTTGAAAAATGTTGCAATATTAAGTTGGGCTGAAGAAATGAGGATAAAATTGGTTATTAATTACGGAAGGGAAAGGTGTGCACAGAAAAAACACATAGAGCACTTTCCCTCTTAGTCATGCCACTGTCAAGAGCTAAGGCTTGCTCCTTGCTCGATGCTCAAGATTTATTGAGTATTTAGTTTTGTATTAGGAACTCATCTTATTCCTCAGTTGAATGAGTTGAAACCTCCTATTCACCTCTACAATCCAAACCAACCATTTGAATTAGTTCTTTCCTTTTCTTGATTTCTCTTGCACCCCTTGGCTTGGCAAGAGAAAAAATAAAAGTGAGAATAATAACATATTATTAGCAAAGTGAAACACCATTTCATTTACAACGATATCCTGACAGTAACGTCATGTTACTTGTTTAATTAAACCCAGTTAAGGTAACATTACAATAAATATATATATTTATTCATCAACAAAAACATCTTTGGGATTCTCAGACATTTTCATGTTTCCTGTTGGTACACTGAGTTGAAGTGGCTTTTAACCTACTTCTGGATGGTAATTCCTTCTTGGTGTTTTCCTTTTTCAAATCCTCATAACAAAAATCCTCCCTGCATCCTAGAAATCCTTACTCTAGTTCTACTATCCACTCCCTTAATACCAGATATCAACCTATTGATCTAATATCTCCTCCCATAAAGCTACTTCCTTCAGCGAATCCTATGCCATTCGTTCTACCTCCTTTTGGAACTCTTTACCTACCTCCATACGTCAATCCTCATCCACTAATCCCTTCAAACAACTCCTATTCCAACTTCCACAAACATGTACAATTTATCTGCATCGATATATTGTATAATTTAATTAACCGTACAATTGAAATTGTACAGTTTATTAACAACACAATAATGTTAATGTTAATAAGTAACAACACAACAGTTAATTAAGCATTATTTTGTATACTCTATGCCAGACTAATCTTTATAATTATGGAACTCTATCATTATTCTTAGGGGACTGTAGTCCCAGAATAAAATTATTTTTCATTTAAAAAATTACCTGAATTGTTTTTAGCACCATTAGTACCATTTCCCATAAGAATAGGTAATGAGACCATAACCATTCCTGTACCACTCCAAACATACTTCATTAGGAACTGTTCTAAAACTATATACCACAGTCTTTGGCAAAATATTTTATTCTTATGTTGAACTAATGATTTATAAGCAGACTTGAGTTGTCTTAATTCAACCTAAAAACAAAAAGAAAAAAAAAAGATGTTATAAATGTAAATAAAGCCATTCAATAAATTTTCAACATGCAAATAATTACCTCATGACCACCATAGAATGCAACTTCTTCAGAATTACTGATGATACGTGCATGGACACTCCTTAAATATGCAGACCGTTCGGCTTCAACAGCCACCAACGCTCCAAATTTGGGTGATAAATTCCTGAGTACAACTCCAGTCAAAGATATAACAGTGAATGCCAGAATTTGACCTGAAAAAAATTTAAATATCAGCTTTGACTTATTACATACACATTTTAAACAATCCAAACACTACATTAAATATATTAGTTTAGTTTTATTATTCGAAATTTCACTCTTTAATTCTCAATTATAAATTGTTTACATATTTAGAAAAACCTTATAAATAATTGTACTTCAACATTATAATTTTGAAAGAATAACAAAAAATTAACTTCAAAATAACTTCTTTTATTTTCCACTCTTGTACTTTATTTTAAAGTTTTTTTAAATCTAAATTTTACTTTGTATGATGTATCACAATAATTAAAAATGTAAATTGAACATTTCATATATATACTGTGCTGATATGCATGAAATGTGTACCACTTTGAAAATAAATTCAGTTTGCATAGAGTTACTATACGAGAAAAAAATATCATATTTACATCCATTTAAATATTCTGTTATAAATATCTGTTACCATTATTATTTACTTCATAAGTTCCTAACTCTGTTACCATCATTATTTATTTCATAAGTTCCTAACTTTTTTCCCACTATTTTATTATAGTCTACTTCACCGCTTTGTTACCCCTTTTTTAATAACTTCCTATGTTCCATTATTTCGTTAATCTCTTGCTTTGATATAGTTGTCTTATATATCCTTACTTTGCTTACACTATTTTCTATTCCCAACTTTTTTTACTGTTAATTTACACTTCCTTTATTTATATATCATATATTTGCCTTTCCACATATTTATTAATGTTCAGTTTATTCTATCTTATTTTTAATTAGACTATCCCTTTTATCTACATATTATTACTTTTACTGTCAATTAGTTTTTCATATCTATGTTATTTATTTTTTTTCTTAGCCTTGAAGAAAACCTGAAATTTGAGCTGAAAAGTTGGTGAAAATAGAAAAAATAAATATTATCTATTTAATTTTACTTTGTTATTGGTTTAAATGAACATCCCAACTCAAACAGTCAATTATTAATCAACCATCATTTAAATATTCATAAGTCTGTTTCATATTTATTCATCTTTATTCACTTCATTGTATTTATTTTTTCGTAGATGATGTACTATTATAAAACCAGTGAAAGGTAGTCTGTGGACTATAGAAATTAAGAACCCCCTGTGCTAAGGGAATTATCAAAAGAGAGAACGATATAAATTTATTTCTTTAATAAATTTAATTGATTAAAACAATAAATAAATGAAATCCAAACCTGGTAATATGGCAGCACCCTTTTGCCTGCTTGATCTAGCAAGAGCTAGTGCGATTAATGCGCAGTCAAAGAGTGGCTTGGTCAGTTGGGAATATAGATGTGCTAGGGATGCAGTAAAAGCAGTGATGTCTTCAGTAAGCAGGTGATCGGCGTTCTCTATCCTCGAGTCCAAATTACTGATTCGGTAGTAAGTCTGGTTGGTCATGTAAAGGTTGTAAGCGTGGTTCACCAGCCTCGTTCTATAACATAAAAAAGAATATATAATTAAATTTGAGATACAATCTGATATTTAGGCGAAATGCATCAGTGGCAGATATGCTTAAGGAAATTTCTGTGAACAAAATTTTAAACATTGATTGAAGTTATTGTATTTTTCATAGATTCATCTTATAGAACTACTTTTCATCTAACTAAGACACATTTAAAATCCATGAAACATCCACCTAAATTTATAAAAATTGTAAATTTAAAGAATAGTTTTGTTGCAAACTGTATCTGACACTGTTTAATTTGAAATGTTCTTAGGGCTGACAGAGATGAAAACAATAATGTAACTGTGTGAAATAGTATTGAAATTTTATATTCGTTATTTTAAAACAGATATTAACAAAAATTATCTTTAACTTATTATAAAACTAATTTCTTGCATTTCCCGACTTAAATGTATAAGTAAATGCTGAAGAGTATTAAGAACCTGCTTTTTGCAATAGTAAAACCTATTATTTAATGCAAACCACTTGCATATTTTTTTTTTAAACCAGAGAGTAGTGAATGGTCTCATATTAAGTATATATGTAAGACCCATTATATTAAATATATTTCTTTGAATTAAAGTGAATATATTGTTAGCTAATGGCAAAAGGCCCGAAAGTGGTTGACACCCATTAAATTTCCAATTCCTTTAACAAAATAAGTTGAAAACAGATAAACCATAATCTAAAAATGCTAAAAGAAAAAATAAGACAAAAAAATTTGGGATACTAAGCGAAAATATAGAAACCAAAAATTTATGAAATAGTGGTCTAGAAGGTCCTGATATCTTATTTCCGATTTTTCGAGGAGGATGTCTACTGACTGATACACTGTCAGCAACTGATACTTTTATCTTAAAATAATACAACCATTTTTTTAAATTAAAAAAATTGTTTACTTTTATATAACTACTTAAATAATTGATAAACACTTAAGGAGAATATGAATAATAGATAAAGGGGCAGTGAATAAATAAAGGGACAGTAAACGTTAAAAGAGTGTTTATATAATCAGTGCAATACGTGTGCTTCATATATTATCCTGTTATTATAAAATATTTCCAAATAGTTATACATCAAACATGCACCACACTTCCCTTACAGCTTTAGGGGAAATGCAATATAAAACTTTTTCGCTGATATCGTCCTGCTTAAGAATGTTTTTTCTTCATTTTTTGTTAATAAACATAGACCATAAAATTATTCTCCACATGACAATCTCTAGTGCATCTGTAGATATAAATGTTAGAGTAATCAAAAATGAAGTTTTTCTATAAGTCTTTTTAACTGTTCCAAATATATGTAATGCATAAGTCCAAATAGGTTTTACTAAGTAATTGTATATATCCAATTTCAATTATTTCAAGGTTCATAATTGTCATAATATATCAAAATATTTCAAATAAAAAAATTATAATATTAAAATTATTCACATAGAATACTCGATAGTTGACCCTTGTATATTATTGAGGAAGGAGATGATCCAAAGTGTTGGTCATAAAATCTTTTTATGACCATCTGGTTCCTCATTAAAACTATTAATTTTCATAGTATAAAATGTATTTCTTCTCACAAAAAAGTATCTGTTTATTGATATTAATAAATTGATACTTATTTTGTAATAAATTTTCTAAAAAAATATATATTATGAAGTATAAGGACATTTTAAATTCAATTTTTGTTTATTTATTAAATTTTTTAAATGTGAAAAATATTTAGTATCTGATAATAAAGTTATAACAAAGATATATCGATTTAAAAATATGATAAATTAATATCGATATATAAAAACAATTGTCAATATTTTCCCAACATCCCTATACCAAGAGCTACAACAATCTCCTCCTGCCTTTCCTTAGGCTTAAGACTGGACAAGACTCCAGCCATGTTATTGACCTCGTAGTTACAGGAAATGGCTCTTAATTGCTTCAGATAAAGAATAGGATGCGGTTTCAGAAGAAATGGTTTGCCATTTAGACGACTTAATTGCTACGTGCTCCATCCTGATGTTATAGACAAAAAAAAAGAAGTACTTCGAAAATTGGTGTTTTACATGTAGAAAATATCTATAGAAGTGCGGTAACGAGAAATGGTCGGGTAACAAACTACTGATTGCAAGTGGAATTTGAAATAATTATGACTCCTGGAATTTCTGAAACATGAACTTAAAAGGTACGATAAGAACTTATAAAAACATAACGTCATTTAATGGAACAAACCAATTTGAAGGAGTTTTGAAATATCACCAATACCTATCTTTTATTAAAACCTCATAAACTAAAAATCGGACCTGCATATTATTAGCGAGGGAAATATTCATTTCCAGGGATGCCCAAAAGGGGGTTTCATGGCGCAAGCTGCGTCATCAAAATTTTTGAGGGGCATATGTTGACGAGTTTTTGAATTTGTGAGGGGGGCAAATTTCAAAGGGATTATGAATTTTCGGACAAACGGACAAAAGGAAAACATGGAACAGACCGGAGCAAGTGTAATTGTATATGATCTATGATTTTTCTAATTATACCATAGCTTACTCAGTTTTTAAGAAAAGGTGAATAATAAAATATTTTAGGAGGTAAGGGGATAGGTTCTTGCGCCATTAACCTTGGGGAGGGGAATGGGCACCCCTGATCATTTCATCCTCTCCAGCGTGCCATCAACATTTTTGAGGGAGGTATATTTTGGCGGGTTTATGAATTTTTGAGGGGGCACATTTCGGTGGGGTTATGCATTTTCGGAATAAAAAGTTTCATGCTAAGAGATAAGGGGAAAACATGTCGCCTTAATGATGTTTCACTTCTATCATGTGATCCAAAGTACACTCCTTAGTTTTTTCTTAACTATTGCTAAATGAGGTCACTATTTTTATCTTATTAGAAAATAAACGAATGAGTGAGGAAAAAGAAATAGTTTGGAAACATTAGGCTTCAGCCCGAAAGTCCTCCCCTACCCATAGATCCGCCTGTGCCAGCTAATGAAAATAAATTTCCACAGCAAAGCATCCTTGATTGTGACGTCACATTTCACGTTCAAGGATTGGGACTGAATTAAAATCTCTCTATTATATAGAAAAGTTTTTAATAACTGTCACATTTTATTTTATTATATTATTAGTATTTAATAAATAAATTTATTGTAATTAAAACTATTACAAAACTAATAACTTATGTTAATCCTCTTCCCCTTCTTGTAAAGATTAAAACAGCGAGGCATGAAACATCGATATTTTTATTGCTATTTTGATACATTAAAAAATATCTTATATTATATTAGAACACAATATTATAGCTTTAAGTAAACTAGAAAAAAAAAAATCCTTGAGTGGCACTAGCGGATCCAGGATTTAATTTTGGGGGGAAGGGGCTTTAGCCCGAAAACTTTTTTTTCATAAAAATGACGATAATTACTTTGGAAAAAAAGAAAGAAACTATCTATATGAAATGGTGTTTAAGTGATTTTAAGTGACTTTAAGAGATAATGTTTTAATATTTTTTTTCCATAAAACAAGGTTATATTTTACCATTTTGGGGAGGGGGCTTCAGCCCAAAGCCTCCGTAGATCCGCCCGTTTTGAGTGGTTTTAGGAATAATTTGTTCACAGTCATTTCCAAGGTTACCGAATAATAAGCATTGACCCCGCAAGTAATGATGAATGATTCAGATCCGATTCCTAATGCACTTCCTTTTCTAAAAAAAAAATCGATTTTATTTTACAAATAGGATACCTATGTAAAAAGACCTTCGACGTATTGCTGCTGTCATTCATTTAAACAACTGTTTTCAGGGAGAATCAGTGAACGTACTCCAACTGTGAAGTTGCACTTTCCAATCCCAGTGTCATCCGGAACTAATAATACTCAATCTCTTTGCTACATCATTAGCAAGTTCAGCCTTGTGAAACAGCTGGAATGACTCATTTGTGATTGCTAGGGAGATCCCTTCATCTGAAATTATGGAGAACTTGATCCAAATAATGATTTCACGAACTCAGATTATTTTCTTTTTATTTATCGATTTTTTTATATATATTTTTTTTATATGGCGATAGAAAAAGGCTTGTTTGAATTCTTTACAAGGTTCAAGGCACAAGCTGACTCACGGTAGCTGTGAAACCGGACGATCTGTGAAAAAAATTTAAGAATCTTAACTTTTAGCCAGCCAATTCTAATTTCTTTTTTATCCACTCACATATAATAGTTATGGGATGATAACAGTACTGTCATTGCAAACTTTTTTTTTATAATTGTTCAATAAGCTTAACTCGTACGTACGTAACAATTTGAAAAGTCGTTGTCAATGTTTCCTCAGAACCGTTTAGTTTTCTACAAAATTCAGACAGGATTTGACTTGAAAAAAACAAAAAAAAAAACATCACTATTTAACTTTCAGTACTGGTAGGACCTAACTTTCAGGACTTATAATATCCATAATATAGTAACAAAAGTTAAACTTAAAGTTTACAGCTGACAAATCATTAACACTGTTAAAATAACAAAAACCCTATTAATTATATCAACGGTAGACAATAAAAACCTAGGTACTCCAACTGTTTTTTTAAACCACATAATTCCAGTCTCTGAGCAGTATATATATGCCTAGAGAGATTTGAAAGTATATCTCTACATTCAACCTATAAATGATTATGGATTGTACGCTTATTAATTATTAAGCTGTTATTTTACATTGTAAAGTTTACTGAAAAGAAATTACGAGATTTTCATGGTCTGCCAAACATAGGTCAAGAGTTTTTACACTAATTTTGAGCAAATAATGTTTGGATTTCACAAAGGGAAAATTCAACAAATTATTCACTAATTTAGTTTTTTAAAAGATTACATGACGATTTTTCGGGAAAACGCACGTTGGTACCTAATTACTTAAATAAAATATCAGATGTAGAGTTATTAAACTACAGTAATAGTCCGTGGTACAGACACCTTTTTATCGAATTATTAACATCCGCTTGAAACCTCGTAAATAGTTTCATCT